CATGTTAACACAACATTGTATCTTCCAAATCTCTGTTCAAAAACATCCACTTCTGACTTTTATGTGAAAGATCATTTGCTTTGCAATATATATAATATATATGTATATAATTATTTTTCCTACATTTGATCTGATTTTCTTTACCGTAATTCTTCCCTTTTTCTGTGCTGTGTGCGATGTATCATGCAGACGATGCAGGCAAGCCAAACCTGTGATGTACAGTGGTAGAGTACCTGGAGTGCGTGGTCACCTTAGAACCTGTGCCACATTTTATAAATCCTGATCCTACTGAAAGATGTTTTATTTACTGATTCTAATACTTTTCCCTTCCTTATTGTTGGGTATTCCTCCAGCATTGTGCTGTAGTGTGACCTGAGCAGAGTAGAGTGATGGATCTTAAAAGCGAAATGGCTTCAAGTGCATCACTATTGGGCCCTGATTCATGCTTCTTCATATTTTAGTTCACCTAAATTAGTGTGAAATCGCACATAAATCGTATTCTGTTTAATGATAATGATTTTATGTTTCCAAACTTGTAGAAAGGAAGCACAGAGATGAGAGCAGTGACATTTATTTTAATGGCACTAGTCCCATTGTACAGGTGTTTAACTGCACTAAAAATGCATGCCTGAATGGAGCCTTGTCTATATTTCTTTAGTTAATTTTCAAGGACTTATCCACTCTATGAAAAGCCCATTCAATGCAACCTTATGAGACCTAACCTCCTTTCATATTTTTTTTGTCGCACTTAAGAGATTGATTTCTGCAGTGCAGCCAGAAATACTATGTATGAATGAATGAAAACAAATCTATAAATTCTTAAATGGGAAAACGTAAGTGAGCATACATGACCTTATATAAATAAAGCACATTAAGTTCCATTACCTACTGTATATCAGTCCAAATTTTCTCAATTGAAAAAAAAAAAAAAAAGATTAATTTTCACTGGTTGGTTTTGTTTATTGCCTTTAAAGTATACCTAAACACAAACACTTCAAATGTGTTTCCATACTTTTAACATGAGAGGTACACTATATTTCCACATGTGTTGGGCCAGCCCTCCAAATCATTGGATTCAGGTGTTCCGATCAGCTCCATGGCCACAAGTGTATAAAATCAAGCACCTAGACATGCAGACTGCTTCTACAAACAAAGTGAAAGAATGGGTCGGAGTTAGGAGCTAAGTGAATTCAAGCGTGGTACCATGATAGGTTGCCACCTGTGCAATAAGTCCATCTGTAAAATTTCCTTGCTACTAAATATTCAACGCTCAATTGTAGTGGTATTATAACAAAGTGGAAGCAACTGCAACTGCAACTCAGCCACGAAGAGGTAGGCCACGCAAAATGACAGAGTGGGGTCAGCGCATGGTGAACCGCCCAGTGCGCAGAAGTTGCCATCAGTCTGCAGAGTCAATAGCTAAAGACCTCCAAACTTCACGTGGCCTTCAGATTAGCACAACAACAGTGCATAGAGAGCTTCATGGAATGGGTTTCCATGGCCGAGCAGCTGCATCCAAGCCTTACATCACCAAGTGCAATGCAAAGCGTTGGATGCAGTGGTGTAAAACACACTGCCACTGGACTCTAGAGCAGAGGAGACGTGTTCTCTGAAGTCACCAATCACGCTTCTCTGTCTGGCAATCCGATAGCCGTGTCTGGGTTTGGCGGTTTCCAGGAGAACAGTACTTGCCTGACTGCAATGTGCCAAGTGTAAAGTTTGGTGGAGGGGAGATTATGGTTTGGGGTGGTTCTTCAGGGTTGGGCTTGGCCCCTTAGTTGCAGTGAAGGGAACTCTTAAAGCGTCAGCATACCAAGACATTTTGGACAATTTCATGCTCCCAACTTTGTGGGAAGAGTTTGGAGATGGCCCCTTCCAACATGACTGCGCACCAGTGCACAAAGCAAGGTCCATAAAGACATGGATGAGCACGTTTGGGGTGGAGGATCTTGACTGGCCTGCGCAGAGTCCTGACCTCAACCCGATAGAACACCTTTGGGATGAATTAGAGCAAGACAGTGAGCCAGGCCTTTCTCACCCGACATCAGTGCCTGACCTCACAAATGTGCTTCTGGAAGAATGGTCAAATATTTCCATAGACACACTCCTAAACCTTGTGGACAACCTTCCCAGAAGAGTTGAAGCTGTTATAGCTGCAAAGGGTTGGCCAACTCAATATTGAACCCTACGGACTAAGACTGGGATGTCATTAAAGTTCATGTGTATCTAAAGGCAGGCGGCCCAATACTTTTAGCAATATAGTGTGTGTGTGTGTGTGTGTGTGTGTGTGTGTGTGTGTGTGTGTAATTTTTTTTTTTTCCACTTGCCCACCAGGAGATTTTATCCCCTTTCCGACCAGGCCATTTGTTCGCTGCGTTACTTTACCTGACAATTGCTTGGTCATTTTGGTAGTATTTGATCGCCACTGGGGTTTTTATTGTTTGCGCTCTGAACGAAAAAAGACTGACAATTTTGAAAAAAAAAAAAAAAAATTTTTAACTTTCTGCCATAAATTATATCCAAAAAAACAATTTAAAAAATCAAATTTCTTCATAAATTTAGGGCAAAATGTATTCTATATATTTTTGGTAAAAAAAAAAATCCCTATAAGTATATATTGATTGATTTGCATGAAAATTATTGCGTCTACAAACTGTGGGATGTACACCCTGTTCCAAATTATTATGCAAAGAGTACAATTCACATTTTACTGAACAAACCTCCTAATGATAACAGTATATTTTTTGTTAAACATAAAACACTTACAATGCACTGTTCCAAATTATTATGCACAGTAAGTTTCAAAACACTTTATAGGTTGTAAAGAACTGAAAATTGTAATTTGTTGTGTTTGCAGCATATTTACTAAAATTAAAAGCTATTTCAATCAAAACCTTTAACAACATTTTAACTTTTTAAACATTTTAACAGGTCATGTTACATTTTAACATAGGACCCCTTATTTGATAGCAGCTTCACAAGTCTTGCATCCATTGAACTTGTGAGTTTGTGGACAGTTTCTGCTTGCATTTGTTTGCAAGATGTCAGAATAGCCTCCCAGAGCTGCTGTTTGAATGTAAACTGCCTCCCACCCTCATAGATTTTTTGCTTGAGGATGCTCCAAAGGTTCCTAATAGGATTGAGGTCAGGGGAGGATGGAGGCCACACCATGACGTTCTCTCCTTTTATCCCCATAGCAGCCATTGATGCAGAGGTATTCTTTGCAGCATGAGATGGTTCATTGTCATGCATGAAGATGATTTTATTACAGAAAGCATAGTTCTTCCTTCTGTACCAGGGAAGAAAGTGGTCAGTCATAAACTCCACATACTTTGCAGAGGTCATCTTTACACCTTCAGGGACCCTAAAGGGGCCGACCAGCTCTGTTCCCATGATTCCAGCCCAAAACATGACACCACCACCGCCTTGCTGACGTCGCAGCCTTGTTGGAATAGGGTGGCCGTCCACCAACCATCCACTACTCTATCCATTTGGACCATCCAGGGTTGCACGACACTCATCAGTTAACAGGACTGTTTAAAAATTAGTCTTCATGTATTTTTCTGCCCAATGCAGCCGTTTCTGCTTGTGAACATTGGTTAGTGGTGGCCGAATAGAAGGTTTATGCACAGTTGCAAGACTCTGGAGGACTCTACACCTTGATGTTCGTGGGACTCCAGAGGCACCAGCAGCTTCAAATATCTGTTTGCTGCTATGTAATGGTATTTTAGCAGCTGCTCTCTTGATCCGATGCATGGATCTGGCAGAAATCTTCCTCAATGTGCCTTTATCTGCACAAACCCGTCTGTGCTCTGAATCAGCCAGAAAAATAGTGCGATGATCACGCTTAAGTTTTCTTGAAATATCTAATGTTTTCTACCTCGTCCAAGGCATTGAACTATTTCACTCTTTTCGGCAGCAGAGAGATCCTTTTTCTTCCCCATATTGCTTGAAAATGGTGCTCTGCTTAATAATGTGGAACACCCTCCTTTAGCAGTTTTTCCTTAAATTGGGCTCACCGGGCAATCTAATTATCACAGGTGTCCGAGATTGTTTTCAGTGACCGAAAGAGCCCTGAGACACAATGCCATCCATGAGTTAAACTGAAAAACAAAATATTCAATCATTGTGACTCTTAAACAGAATTTGCATAATAATTTGGAACGGTGTATACAGGATTTTTTTTTTTTTTTTTTTTAAATACTAGTATGGCGGCGATCAGTGACTTATAGTGACTAACAGGACTGTAATAGTATGGCGGTCAATCTGACACTTTTTGGGAACCAGGGACTCTAATAAGTGTGAATAATATACACTGACACTATGCTAAAGACACTGGTTGGGAAGGGGTTAACATCTAGGGGCGATCAAAGGGTTAAGTGTGTGCTTAACAGTGCTTTGTGTGTGTACTTTTATTTGGGAATGAGCTGGTTTTTATTCCCTGCTTTGCTGGGAAACAAAAATCTGCACATCCCCACTGACAGGGCAAAGCTCTGTATTGTTTACGTACACCAAGCTCTGTCCTGTTAGCTTCTGGCGCATCCTGGCCAGCAATCATTGGCTAATCAGTATCATTAGCGTCACAGCACAGGCAGCGGCGTGCGCCTCCTACCTGGAAGAGCTGGATCACGTACTAAGTAAGTGGTTCATCGCAGGAGACCCACCTTTCCACTGTACATGCAAGTGATGGTGTTTGTTTATCTCAAGCTATTGATCTCTATAGCTGGCTTTTTACACCACACCATAAACAGACAGAAGAAAATTTTTACAGATTGCTGAGATCTCCACCAGTCGATTAGATTACATGTTATATATTATTCAATATGTTTTATGTACCTTACTAAAACAAAATAATGTATTTAATGTTTTAGTTTTTTATTCTTGAATGCAATAAATAAAGAAAATATGGCTGAACCTGCTATACATTCCCTTTGATCCTGGTAACATGCCTGTGGTATGTGAGTTAAGGTTAACATGATTTGTGCTGTGTTCTTTTTCAGAGAGGACCGAGAGGCCAGATTCCAGGCAAGCAAACTGGGGATTGTAGCAGCATTCCGATCATGGGCAGGTTAGTGCGAGTTACTCTAACTTTCACTTGACTGTAATAGCTGCTCCTAGATGTGGGATTTTACAAAGTTTGACGTGTTGCATCTTGCCTATCCTCCTTGACTTGTCTCTTCTTTTCTCTTTCATCCCTCCTCATTGTTATCCCCTCACTGATCCTCATTTATCTAAATGTCTAATGGCACAGTTATTTTGAATAATTGTGTTGCCTGTCGCAGACATTGACATCCTTCCTTTTTAAAGTCAACCTCAGAGGACTAAGCCCTGGTTCACACCGGTGCGACTTCAAGTGCAGCAGGTGATTTAAAAATCACACCTGAAGTTGCATCTAATGTATTTCTATGGCACTGTCTTAATCAGTGATTTGAAGTAGCATGATTGCTAAAATAGTTCATGCACTACTTTTTCCCCGATTTGATTGGGACTTGTTTTGACTTTATTTACAGTGCCTTGAAAAAGTATTCATACCCCTTGAAATTTTCCACATTTTGTCATGTTACAACCAGAGACGTAAATGTATATTATTGGAATTTTATGTGATAGATCAACACAAAGTGGCAGATAATTGTGAAGTGGAAGGAAAATGATAAATGGTTTTCAAAATTTTTTACAAACAAATATCTGAAAAATGTGGCGTGCATTTGTCATCAACCCCCTTTACTCTGATACCCCTAACTTAAAATCTAGTGGAACCAATTGCCTTCAGAAAGTCACCTTATTAGTAAATAGAGTCCACCTGTGTGTAATTTAATCTCAGTATAAATACAGCTGTTTTATGAAGTCCTCAGAAGTTTGTTAGAGAACATTAGTGAACAAACTGCATCATGAAGGCCAATGAACACACCAGACATGGATACATTTGTGGAGAAGTTTAAAGCAGGGTTAGATTATAAAAACAATATCCCAAGCTTTGAACATCTCAGGAGCACTGTTCAATCCATCATCCGGAAATGGAAAGAGTTTGGCACAACTGCAGATCTAACATGACACAGCCCTCCACCTAAACTGAAAGGCTGGGCAAGGAGAGCATTAATCAGAGAAGCAGCCAAAAGGCCCATGGTAACTCTGGAGGAGCTGCAGAGATCCACAGCTCAGGTCGGAGAATCTGTCCACGGGACAACTATTAGTCGTGCACTCCACAAATCTGGCCCTTATGGAAGAGTGGCAAGAAGAAAGCCATTGTTGAAAGAAAGTCATAAGAAGAAGTCCCTTTGCAGTCTGCAAGAAGCCATGTGGGGGACACAGACAACATCTGGAAGAAGCAAAATTTAACTTTTTGACCTAAAAGGAAAACACTATGTGTGGCAGAAAACTAACACTGCATAACACCCTGAATACACCATCCCCACCGTGAAGCATCATGTTGTGAAGACAGGGAAGCTGGTCATAGTTGATAGGAAGATAGATGGAGCCAAGTACAGAGCAATCTTAGAATAAAACCTGTTAGAGTGTGCAAAAGACTTGAGACTGGGGTGGAGGTTCACCTTCCAGAAGGACAACGACCCTAAACATCCAGCCAGAGCTACAATGGAATGGTTTAGATCAAAGCATATTTATGTGTTAGAATGGCCCAGTCAATGTCCAGACCTAAATCCAATTGAAAATCTGTGACAGGACTTGGAAATTGCTGTTCACAGACACTCTCCATCCAATCTAAAGGAACTTGCGCTATTTCGCAAAGAAACATGGGCAGAGATGTCACTCTCTAGATGTGCAAAGCTGGTAGAGACATCCCCAAAAAGACTTGCAGCTGGAATTGCAGCAAAAGGTGGTTCTACAAAGTATGGACTCCGGGGGGCTGAATACAAATGCACGCCACAGTTTTCACAGATTTATTTGTAAAAACCGTTTGAAAACCATTTATCATTTTCCTTCCACTTCACAATTATGTGCCACTTTGTGTTGGTTTATCACATAAAATCAGAATCAAATACATTTACATTTTTGGTTGTAACATGGCAAAATGTGGAAAATTTCAAGGGTTATGAATACTTTTTCAAGGCACTGTAAATGAAGTCGCAAGCCGCAGTGAAATCGAAGGTACAAATCGCACTGATCTTCAGCTTTGAAATCACGCTACTTCAAGTAAAGTAGCGCAATTTCACAGTTGCATTTAGGCTCTGTGCGCACTGGGTGGTTCAATACGGCTGGTAGCGTTAGCTGTGTAAAGTCGCGTTAAAAACATGAGTTTTTCAGTGTTTTTGCATTAGCGTTTAGCCGCATTTTTCTGCATTTGAGGTTTTTTACACACAAAAATAAATAACATTTTTGCTAAAAAAAAAAAACCCTGAAAAATGCAGTTTTACCACTTTTTCCAGCGTTAGAACATTTTTAAAGCTAAAAAAACTCCTCTAGAAACCCACTATTTCTGGAGGTTTTTTCCAGCCAAAAAATGCCCCTGCCAGAAAACGCTGATTAAAGCCTATGTGTGTATGGACACATAGGATAACATGCTGGGGAGTTTACTGGCTGTAGAAAAAAACGCCACAAACAGCTGCTGTAAATACGTCTAGTGTGCTTGAGTGTGTCAACCAGGGCTAAACTATTGCGCTAACTTGATTTCTAAAAGTTTTTCTCTGTGTGAAAAAAAAAAAAAAAGATAACAGAAGACGCACAATATATGTGCATTTCAACACATTTTATCCTTTAAAATTGCTTCAGGTACAAAAAAAATGCCAGCCGGAAGCTCAATCATATACACAATTTCAGAAAAACCATTCTGTTTTTTTTTTATTGTAGCTATAATTATTTAAATCATAAACTTGTGGCAGACAAACAATCAAAATGCGTAGTTAAAAACAACAAAGTAATAGGTTTGAATTGATTAAAGCCCATTGCATCCTACTATATGGTAGCTATAACTCTCAGGTCTATATGTTTCACAGATAGAAGTCATTATTTCTGGACCTTAGACACTTACTTAAGGCCAGACCATTCAAGAAGTAATGGTTCTAAAACATACAAAATATATCTTCAGAAATACATAATGCCATCAAAAATTTAAATTACAACCGTAATATTTTTATAAACCTCAATCAGAAAAGAAAATCAATTAAAGTATTTTACTTTTATTGATTTTTCTTTTCTGATTAATATATGTGAGTCTATTATGGTTGTAATTTCAATATTTGTAGGTATTGCGTATTTCTTTTTGTTTTAGAACGATTCATTCTTGGATGGTCAAGCTTGACATAATAGCCACCAAGGTCCAGAGGAAGCGGCTTTTGCTGCAAAACGCATAGACATAAGAGTTATAGTTCTTATTAGGATGCAACTGGCTTTAATGGCTTCAAGCAGGTGTTGTTGTTTTTAACAGTATGCATTGCGATTTTTATTTCTTTTTTTGACTGTCACAGGTTTTACGATTTATGTAATTTTTGATACAATTAAAAACAGTATAGGTTTAATGGTTTTTGAACTTGTGTATGTGAATGAGTTCCCGGCTGGCATTAGTAGTGCCCCATATGATTCTTTTTTTCCCTGTTTGACATTATTTGGGATGATGCTCCTGGGATACCGTCAACATGCTGTGTATTAGTTCCCTCACTTTGTTTATATATAGGTACAGAAAATGCTGATCTGTCAGAAATCCAGAGTGCTCCCTCTCTATTAGGGCTGACAATACAGTACCTGCACTGAAGTCCAAACCAGAGTTGTCAGCCTTGTCTGATGGACTACAGAACTCTGCCTGTCTCTGCCCCCTCTCTATCCCTCATCACATGCATCCATTGACTTATTTCCCAAGCTAAACAATTCTGCCACCTTGAGTTCCTGTCTTTAGTGTAGGGAAGGGGCTTTTGGGAGATGTAATTCTGTGAACGTGTCTATGCAAGCAGGAACTGAGTTCTCATCAGCTGCCCCTGCAAGAATTATTCAAGCCAGCCGATGATGTCATATGGAATAAGAGCTATTTCTTGCTACAGAAATGAGGTAGAAGAAAAAAAAAAACACCTGGGCGAGTTCTAGGTGTGTCATAAAGCAAAGAAAGTAATAAAAATAAATTATTGCTTATTCCATAATCATATTCTATAATGCCCTGGATAGCTTTGTTGGTGCTCCTAGAAAAGATTATAGTTTCTGTAATTAGTGTCTCAATCTTGTATTCAGTTAGTTTATTTAAATAGAAAAAAGTAGTCACTGCTGTTTGGTATTCTTTGTGTGTGCCACACTGTACATGGAGCAGAGGAGGCAAAGGAGAGTATTGTGTGAGGAAATCAGAAAATGTCAAAGGTAAAAGCTATTAGACCTCCAAGCAGCTTAGTGTTCCTGTGACTACAGTTACAAAATATTACGGTTGGCAAGTATTAAGACATTTAAGGCCCATTGAATTGTAGCCAACCTTCCTGGATGTGGACACAAGAGGTATAGCGAACCCAGATTGAAAAGAAGAAGTGTGAATGATGGATGCAGGGAAACAAAAACCGGCTCATCCCCACTGTCAGGATAGAGCTCTGTGTTGTTGTTTACAATCACAGAGCTCTGTCCTGTCATCCGCATTGCTGACTGGTGGGTCCCAACCATCAGTCATGGGTGGGACCTGCTTATCGGCTTGTGCTGTAACTAATCATAGCACAGCCAAGGAAGCAGGTGCGCGCTCCCTGCCCGGAAGAGCTGGATCATGTATCAGATACGTAATCCAAGAGAGGCCGCTTTGCCACTGTATATACTCGTAATGAGGTCAGCAAGTGGTTAAACACTTGCCCTCTAGAGGATTTATCCCCCTTCCTTACCAGGCCATTTTGTGCGTTACGGCCGTTACTTTATCTGTCAATTGCATGGTCATGCAACGCTGCACCCAAATGAAATTTGTCTTTTTTCCCCCACAATTACAGCTTTCTTTCGATGGTATTTGATCGCCTGTACTTTTTTTTTATTTTTGCGCCAAAAATAAAAGACCAACAATCATGAGAAAAAAAATATATATTTTTGACTTTTTGCTATTAAACCTGTCCATTAAAAAAATCAAATGTCATAAATGTAGGCTAAAATGTATTCTGCGACATGTCTTTTCTAAAAAAAAAAAAAAATCCCAATATGTGTAAATTAATTGGTTTACGTGCAAGTTATAGCGTTTACAAATGGCGGTATATATACTGTGGCGGGCATTTGACACGGGGGGGGGTGATTTTTTTTTTTTTTTGACTAGTAATGGCGGCGATCAGTGATTTATTGCAGGACTGTGGCGGGCATTTGACACGGGGGGGGTGTTTTTCTGGCCAACTGACTTGGTGTCACTGACATGCCCAGTGACACTAATACAGTGATCAGTGCTAAAGCAGTAAAAAGCACTGACACTGTACTAATGGCACTGGGCAGGGAGGGGTTAATGTCTGGGGAGGCAGAAAAGCAAATATGACATAATGCGATCAAAGGGTTAACTGTGGTTTTTACTATGAGGCTGTGTCTGTGCTTTCCATTGTAAGAAGACTGCTTTGTATGGCTCTGCTACGCAGAGCCATACAAAGCAGTATGCTAGAGCTGACAGGGGAGAGAACTATATTGTTTAAACATACAGTTCTCTCCCCCCATCGGTAATTACTTGCCGATCACACGGTGCCATTGAATAATCAACCGCCCGGGACAGTGTTTTTGCGCACTCATTCCGTTTTCCTGCCGCCAGTGTAACAGTATTCCTCTCTGGCCATTTCCCAGAAGGCTTTTGGCTGGCCTGTAGTCTTTTTTTCTGCTTTCCAAAGGAATAGAAGGGTACCAACAAATTCGTCCATGGCGCTGATAATCATTAAAATACGTGGCAGTATTCTATTGTATTAAAAATGTTTACATTTTAACTTATACCCCAAATACAAAAATGTGTCTTCAGCTGAGAATGAATTGCTACTATATTAAAAACACTTTTATCTAGATATATATGTTACAGAAACAGGAGCATCAGTTATTTTAAAGGGTGCTTTTTGTCCAGCCCATTTTTGGAGGTTTGTCCCATTATGTCGATTTGCTTCGTTTTGTCTAGAAGGGAAATAAACAACAAAACAGTGTTAATGTACCTTTCTGAAGCATGGGAGATAGATGGGTGCAGAAATGACTGTATATAGTTGTAATCCCTGCAGGCAGAACTTGGATCAGGTTTCAGTTTCATACAGCTCTTGTGAACTTTCCAAACCTAAACACTTATCTATATCATGATCTTTTTGCTCATGTGAGTAGTTGGTAGCCTTTAACCTGCTTGGAAAGAATGTTAAGAGACACCAAACTCTTTGTATTTATTTGTTTTTACCTTGCTCTTGGAATCCAGTTGTTTTTATAAATCATTTGTCATTGTTAATAGAAATGTTCATTTGTAATGCTGATATCCCTCTGTCACAAGTCTATGTTGTATTCCTTCTTAGGTATCATTAGCCTATGCAAGCCTGGGAATTCTGGCATCCAGTCTCTGATTGGAGTTTTTTGTATACCAAACATGGAAATACGGGTAGGTTATTGATATTTCCTGAAGGACATCGTCACTTTCACTCTCTGTTGTTCAACATTCTGTGTCTTAAAGTTGATCTTTCCCTTGAAAGTAAAACTTGTAACATACAGTTCTCACTCAGTCTGTCTTTCTGGCCCTGTTGTGTATATTTATGGGGTTGGGCCTAGCTAGTGTTTGCATGGGGTCTTAAGAACAGACAAGGCAGAAATACTAGGCTGTGATATAATTTCTGTGTATTTGGGCAAAATTAAAAAAAAAAAAACTAAAATAAATATATTTATAATAGCACATCTTTGTTTTCCCTCAAAATGTATGGAAGTACAGAAGCATACCTGTTCATCTTGCCAGGAATCTTTTGAGCTTTTTTTTTTTTTGAGCTTCCTGTGCTGCATTAAAATAAAAAAAAAAAATGAAAGGTTTTGATTCAGACTTTGTGTATTTCAGGTTCATTACTCTACAATTCCAGTATATTTGGCATTCCAGTTTCTGACGTAGATAGTTTGTATCTTGTCTAATGTTATTGGTTACTGGAACGTTATTGACATGTTGTGCCCTAATACACTAGTAGTGGTTTCTTGCGGAGCTTTTTGCTCATGCTTTTTGTATAATGGTATGATAGTACTTTTTTGTAAATTCCCAATGTCTAAATAAAGAATTACAAAAAATAAAAATAAAAAAACAGTGCTATCAGCCCTGGTTAGTTCACAGTATATAGGTGACGGAACACCTCCCCCAATGTAATGGAGAATGTTCTGTAGTCCAAATTAGGAGCAAACAGCTCCAACATGATAATGTTGGTCCTCCATAGAATACCCCTGCATATAATAAACTGTCCAAACATTACAGTGATTCAGATGGCTCCTAAACTTTCAGAAATCATCACTGGAACAGATTCCTTGTTTGGAGTATGTGGGTCTAGCCCTGAACACTGATCAGGCCACTTCACTCCCAGGCCTGATAGTCTTACTCCAGACCTCTGCAATGTAAAATTAGTTTAGCATTAGTTTCCAGGTAAAAGGCTCCTCTTGCCCAAGCAGTGTATGATCTGGTGGCCCCATGGGATCTATACCTTTCCCGCCCCCCCTTTTTTCCTCTCCTGCTTTGCATGTTCAAGATGAAGGTCAATCCAGTTATCCTCCTTGCTTCGGAATTGCACATGTAGTGGTGGTATGTTGACCTGGTTATACTCCTGGCAGATTCCATGTGGGCACTCCACCACAGAATATTCCCCATGGGGCGAATCCTTTCCTTGCTGCAGCTGGGTCTGGACCAGGGTTTGGCTGTCAGAACTGTTAAGGGTCAAGTTTCTGCCCTATTTATTCTATGTCAGAGAACATTGGCCTCTCACTCTATAAGACGTTAGTACGTTGGGTCGGGAGATCTCTCTGTCCCATTCCTCTGTGACTGTGTGGGATCTGAATCTGCTTCTCCATGCATCTCTCGCTCTTTGCCATTTGAACCCATTAGAGATAATTCTGTGTTTACCCTCACCCACATGCTAGTGTTTCTTGTAGCCATCACCTCTACAGCACGAGTGTCTGAAGTGGCAGCCCTGACCTGCAAGGAACCCTCTCTGGTTTTGTAGAGGGACAGGATGAGGCCCACAACTTCTTTATAGCCTAAGATAGTCATTGCCTTAAGGGCTGGTTCACGTCATAGAAACGCAGTCTGGATGCATTTCTGCATGCACATTTTTGACGTGTTCAGGGGTGCGTTCCAGTGTGGTTCACTCCTCTTTTTTTTTTCTTAAATGGGGACATGTTCGTTTCGGTGCAATTTTGGTGTATTTCGGTGCATTCCAGTGCATTTTTGATGCGTATAGTTAAGTGCAGAAATAATGCAGAATGTTTTTACTTTGTTCTACGCAATGGAACTGACCAAACTGGTGTGAACTAGGCCATTGGAACCCATGTAACCTACTGTCCATGCATTTTTGATGCAAAAAAAAAAAAAAAAAAACCTCACTGGGCTACAACTGGTGTGAACCGGCCTTTAATCCCAACCAGAACATTGCTCTTCCATCTCTTTCTGGCTTCATCAAAAGGAAATTTCCCTCTACTGTCTAGATGAGGTTAGGCTTAATTATTAATTATAGCATCCTGGATGGTGGTGCATCAGCTCCTAATTCCATCAACTCTAGGTGGCCCTGGCAAACTTTTCTGTCAAGGCGCACTCTGTAAGATTTATAAGCGCTGCTTGAGTTTTTATATCTGTTTATCAGCTGTGCACAGTTTTTGTTTGCTGGTGTCTAATCCTTCTTTTAGACAGCAGTGTAACATAAAGGTTTAAGGCCTGGTTCATACCAATGCAGTTTGTGGTTTGTCTTTCTCTTCAGTGCTTATTGCGATTCGTTTTGCATTTTTTTGCACTTGTGTTTTTTAAGCTTTTTTTTTATGCATTTTGGTTTTTTTTTGGGGCCAGCTTGTTGCTGGGCAGATTGGAAAACGCAAAAATTGTCAAAAATGCATTACATGCATTTCTGCAGCGTCTCCATTGAAGACTGCATTTAAAAAACTCCCAGACCCTTTCCAACAATGCATGGATGTGAAATTGTCTCATTGGAAACCATGTTAAATGGACTGTAGTGCGTTTATGAAAAAAGCACTAAAAAATGCATTGATGTGAACAAGACCTTAAAGCTGAAGTTCAGTGAATGGTGCTTACCATGAATTATTAGTATCCTGTGTTTAGTTGAAATCCATAGTCACAATCTGACTCTGCCTGCTCTTTCCATTCCCAATGCTCCACCCATAGAAGCCGTAATATGGGTCCATACCATGTAATGCGCTCTATGAATGGAGGAAGGGAAGACAAATGAAAGGCCTGCCTCCTCCACTCATAGTACAGCTTTTTTGGCTAGAACATGGGGCAGAAAGGGGTGCAGAGATATGCAGCCCATAACCCCCCCCCCTCGTATTGGCAGTTTGGGGGGGGGAGTATCCAGGGCAGAGAAGTGATGATTTCAGCTGAACACAGCAGCCACCAGTCCAAGGGACGCTATTTGTTAATTTTATGTACCTTCCCTGGTGCTTTTTTAATTTATTTATATTTAAATTCACTAAACTTTAGCTTTTAAACTTCTGTGTTCAGTAAACTCAAGATAAAAGATTTTAAAAGTACAAAAATCCTTTTGGAAGCCAAACCCATTGATTAAATTGGAATTTTAATGCGGACTGTAGTACGTAATTTAATTTAAGATGCTGTCTTAAGCCTTTATGGAAAAAAAAATATTTTTTAAATGTGCTTAGTTTTTTTAATTGGTAAAATAGGTTACATTACATTTGGGTCACAAAAGCTTAAAGCTTGCAGCATTTTCAAATGTTACTGTGATTTTTATTTTTCTATAAGCTATTCAAAATGCATTTTGTTTTAATTTCCCTATAGGTACTATTATACACATCAGATGACGTTACCGTAGGCATATTATTTTATTGATTTTTGAGAGATATGTATGCTAAAGTAGATTCACAAAGGTTACTTGAGGGAGGGTTAAAATTTCACATTTTGTGCAATAAAACTTATTCAATTTCTATTGGGATAATATGACGAGCCAAAAAAAAAAATTACTTTTGCTTTTAGTTATATGTTGTTTCTGATTTCCTTGTTTCTTCTATCACATAGCGGGGACTTCTTGAGGTACTGTATGAAATATTTCGCCTCCCTCTTCCTGTGGTGACAAAGGACTTTATTGAGGCACTGCTTAGTGTAGGTAAGTAGCAGTCTCTTATTCCTTTGGAATGCCCTTTGCATTAAAGGTAAAGACAAGAAAAGCTCTTTTTTTTTTTTTTTGTTTGGGATTCTTCTTACAGTAAAAAAGGGAAAGATTGCTGCTGTCACATATTGTATTTGCAGCACTATGTGCATCTGAAATTTGAACATTTAAATGTAAAATAAATAATTTCTATGTGATACGGGCTGTACTTATTTGGATGAAATTCAGTTCACTTAGTGAGAGGATAAAACAGTACTGTGGTTCTGTTATCTTATACAATCAAGGTGTGGCAGATGAGAGCCTTTAGCATTATGCAGGCCATAGACGGGTCGTTTATCGGCCAAATTTTCGTCTGCAGGCAAAATCGGCCAATATTCATGCTAGTGGGGCCAGCCCGTCGGCCGTTTTTTTCTTGGATCTTCACATTTATTTTTATTGGTCATGCTAGAGCCATTTTTCATGGACATTGGTGGCAGCATCAGCAACGGGGCCCGACCGATTTTTTGTTTGTTGGCCGAAAATTCGGCCCGTCTATGGCCTTCATTACTTTAAAGAGTGACACCCAGTTAAAAAGAGATTTTCATTGTTAGGCCCTAAAGATGGAAAATGTGATGATAAAACATTTAAAAGGTTAACTTCAGTGAAAACTACATGTCAAAATGATCTGTAGCTCTAGAAATATAGAGAGACTAAATTATATTCGAATCCATCTTTCCCTTTGCAAAGTAACAAAGCAAACTTTACCCCATACCTAGAATCGCCACACCAGCCCTTGAGGACATCACGTTACGAGACAAGTGAGGAGAAGGGACCAGGCCTGAGTTTTATAAGAAATCTTGAGATTTCCACCTTACCTAAAGCCGTCCATATATGGTTTGAAATTCGTCCGGTTCAGCAGGGGCCGGTCGAATTTTGATCTATGTGCGGGCACCATGCTTGTACACAAGTTGATCTGTTGATTTGACTTCTTTAAAACCTTCTACTATAGCCAGCAACAATGATCATCATTTTCTGACAGCGGGGAAGGCTCCCTGCCGTGAAAACACAATAGCACAGCAGGATGGATTCAAATGTGTGAATGGGGGAATCAGTTCTTTTCTTTTTTCATTCAACCTGCTGATTGTGTTTTAAAAAATGTATAACATATGAGCCCAATCTCAATCCAGTGATGTGCACGAGAGCCGAGGCTCTTTCACTTGTCATTTTCTCCTGCTGCTGTCTATCAGAGCCAGTGATGAAGGAGCGGAGGGCAGGGCCAAGCCCCACTCTGTGTGTCTTATGGACACAGAGCAGGGCTCGGGAGCGGGCACGCACAAGTGTCCCCAAAGCAAGCAGCTTGATGTGGGTGGAGGAGACAGGAGTACTGGCAGGAGACCTGAGAAGAGGAGGATCGAGGCTGCTCTGTGCAAACAGTTGCACATAGCAAATAAATATGACATGTTTGTTATTTTAATAAAAGAAAAAACAAACCTTTTAGAATCATTTTGTCAGTATCAGCTAGTGAGGGTGAAGCTCCCTAGTGAGAACACAGACATCAATAAAAGCTTTACACATTGTAAGTATTAACTACTGTCCAAAATACAAAAATAAAGTGGCTGTACACATGAACGCTGCGCTTCACCGATGATATATCTTGCAGCTTGTCCCAATGCAAGTATGCATGTGGTATACCTGATTGGCCTGTATGGAAACTGTAAGTCACTGTAGTAGCTTAGGATGTGACATTCACGAGAATGCTTTGCAGTTTTCTCAATGAATGCAAAACGAACTATGCAAAAGGATAGCCGCTTCGTATGGCACCTGGAAGATCACAGCCATCTCTGTAGTAGCTCAAGCTACTACAGTCATTTAGGGCTTCCACAGAGGCCGATTACATATCTCATAAGCATACTTACATTGGGCCAAGCTGGCTTAATGTAGATATGCAAAATATACTATTCCTGGATTTCATCTTTAAGCAAAGAAATATACCTTATGAATCCTAAAATACCGTTCCTCTCTTCTAATACGTATTCTGTCTTCTAATGTAAGATCCAAGTCGTTTACAGGAGTCTTGGAGGCTTTCAGATGGGTTTGTAGCAGCAGAGGCTAAAACAATTCTTCCACATCGAGCACGCTCCAGGTAAGTGCCATTGATAATATACTGGTAGGGTTAAAGAGTGTGATTTCATCTATAAGGGAGACTAAGAGGGGGAGATTAGAATAGAGTATACAACAATCAGCCATAATATTATAACCACTGACTAGTAAAATTAATAACTTTGATTATCTCATTAAAATGGCATGTGAAAGTGGGTGGGATATATTAGGCAGCAGGTGAATATGTCCCTGAAGTTGATGTGTTGAAAGCGCAAAAAGTTTGCAAGCTAAGGATTTGAGCAACTTTGTCATGGGCAAGATTGTAATGGCTAGATGACTGGGCATAGCAACGCCATAACTGCAGCTCTTGTGGGATGTTCTGGCCAAGATGGTGGAGGCGGTGATTTGCTATTGACAGCTTGGTATAAGATACCACGACATACTTTCAGAGGTCTAATGGAGCTGTGCCTCGAAGGGTCAGGGCTGTTTTGGCAGAAAAAGGTGGACTTACTCAAAATTAGGTGGGTGGTCGTAATGTTATGGCTCATCAGTGTATATTGATGTATTATGATCGGTGATTTACTGGAAAGCTCTACTGAGAGAAATGGTTTCAATTGGAACAATTGCTAAGCACCCCTTTTGAAATGCTAGGTGACTGTCATTCTGAAGGCTTTGGTACTTTCATAACCACTTGTCTACTGGGCCAATTTTAACACTTTTCATATACATACGAAAATGAGCATTTTTTGCTAAAAAAAATTTTTAAAACCATATATTCTCTCAAAGATACCCTTTTTTTTTTTTTTAAATCAGCGAGTACGAGTACCGATACTCTGCGGTGCGATTTGCATCAATACAAAATGTATGGATGCAAATTACACCCCAAAGAATAGCATGTGATTTGAACAGGAATGTGATTCCTGTCCAAATCACATGGGGTTTCCCCACTGCTCATGTGCGAACCCAGGCTGTCCTAGTTCACACAGGAGCGGTGCAGGGAGGTTTCCTGCAGCGGAGAATGGGAGAGTTGGCGTGTGGGGATGTATACTATGGTGGCAGATGCTCCATATTCTCAGTTGTAGAAGAGGCAAGAAAGTGTCGGGGATTTCAAATTCCCGCCACTTTCTCCTCTCCTTGCAGCGATGACCATACGGGCCAGCTAGACGGCATCTGATTGGTTAGCACCGTTCATGTGATGGTGCTGACCAGTCAAAAGCCCTCTAGCCCGAACTGTCGTCCCTGCAAGTAGAGGAGAGAGAGAGAGCGCAAATCGTACCACAAAGTATCCATTTCCGGTGTCAGGACCATTTTCACGAGTACTCGTGAAAATACTCTGTTATCAGCATTGGTGCATCCCTACCAAACATGTCAATGTTTAAAATTGCGAAACTTTGGTATAAAAAATGTCCATATGCAATGCTGTAGCCTCCCTGGCAGTATTCCCTAATGTAGTTCGGGGTAAAGTTTCATTACCAAAAGTGGTAACCCCGAGCTACACTCGGGCTTACCATGCGGAGCTGCTCCGCGATCCCTACCTTGTTCTGCGCTCCCGCGATGTCCCTCCTGCAGTGTCCCCAGCAATGTAATCCGGCGGATGCCGGCATCTGGGTTCCGTCCCCTGTGAGCGTCGGGACATACGGGGGACGGAACAGCAGGAAATTTGAAAATGACAAAAAGTGACATTCACAAAAATCACTAAAATCATAGTATAACATTACTGTATCAAACCATTTCACATACATGTTGTCCCGAGTGCTTTGTCCTCTGTCCTGCCTGCATTTTTACTGTTCGTTCTGCCTGGAAACTGAGAAATGTCCATGGCGTCCAAAAAGCGTCCCTTTAGGTCTTAAGCGGTTTTAGACCAGCTAGAGAACAGCGATAGTAAATCAGAACCACTTGCAGAATTGAGTGATAATGATTCGTGGGGAAATTCGTCATCAGACACTGAAAATGATTTTGTGACTTTGCTCAGTGATGTGCAAACTTGGCGCTATATTTCACATTTCAGTGTTTTTGGTTTGATTATATTATTGAATTAAATTTATTATTATTATATAATTATTTTTTATGATTAATATGTTATAATTTATGATTTCGTGTTTCTTACTTTATCATACCCGGGATGTTTACTAGACTCTTGTTCGGACAAATTTCAGTGAGTTATTCATAAGAATTACAGGCCTACAATAAAAAAAAACAACAAATTTCCATTAAAATGAATGTACCACTTCGAGCACAGAAATACTGACATAATCAGACCCTTAGGGAGGTTAATCTGCTGAGATGCTGTATTTCGTTGTTTTGTCTGAAAGCACATGACATAGAATGTAGAATATTCATACACAAAATGTCTTTATTTTACAGACCTGATCTCATTGACAATTATCTAGCGCTTGTACTTTCTGCATTCATTACAAATGGCTTGTTGGAGGTAAGTGGCCGAAGGTCATGTGCAGCATTGCTTGTCTGTATCTCCCTGCTCTGTTTAACCTCTATATTTGATTTAGGGGCTGGTGGAGGTAATAACGAGCAGCGATGACGATGTGTCTGTCAGAGCAACAATCATCCTTGGGGAGCTCTTGCACATGGTATGTTTTATTTTTTATTTTTTTTCAGTGATATCCTGGAAAATATACTCGCCAGCCACTTTGTTAGGCACACCTTGCTAATACTGGGTTGGACCCCCTTTTGCCTTCAGAAATGCCTTAATGAGTTCCTATTGTCATCTCAAACCAGTCTGCCCATTCTCCTCTGACATCAACAAGACATTTTTGCCCACACAACTGCCACTCACTGGATATATTCTCTCTTTCTGGATATTTTCTCTCTGTAAATCCTAGAGATGGTTGTGTGTGAAAATCTGAGTAGATCAGCACTTTTTGAAATGCTCAGATCAGCCCGTCTGGCACCAACAACCATGCCACGTTCAGTCACTTAAATCCTCTTTCTTCCCCATTCTGATGCTCTGTTTGAACTTCAGCAAGTTGTCTTCATCATGTCTAGATGCCTAAGTGCATTGAGTTGCTGCCATGTGATTGGCTGATTAGCAATTTGTGTTACAGGTGTACCTAATAAAGTGGCCGGTGAGCGTATACTGGATTTCTATGCATAAGACTGCATTTTGTTTTTAATCCTCTGTTTTTGTCTTGTACTTCAGGCAAACACAATCCTTCCACATTCACACAGTCATCACTTACATTGTTTACCAACCCTGATGAACATGGCAGCATCGTTTGACATCCCCAAAGAAAAACGACTGTACGTATTCTATATAAGTTACTAAGGGCTCATGTCAAACAGCCATCGAACTCATGTCTGCAATATCCTATAGACTTTAATTGTGCAATATACAGTTAGGTCCATATACAGTGAAGGAAAAAAGTATTTGATCCCCTGCTGATTTTGAATGTTTGCCCACTCACAAAGAAATGATCAGTCTAAAAATCGAATGGTAGGTGTATTGTAACACTGAGAGACAGAATAGCAACAAAAAAATTCAAAAGAAATGCATGTCTAACAAATGATGCACTGATTTGCATGTTCATGAGGGAAATAAGGATTTTATCCCCTTCACAAAACATGACTTAGTAGTTGGTGGCAAATCCCTTGTTGGCAATCACAGAGGTCAGATGTTTCCTGTAGTTGGCCACCAGGTTTGCAACATCTCAGGAGGGATTTTGGCCCACTCCTCTTGGCAGATCCTCTCCAAGTCATTAAGGTTTGATGGCTGACGTTTGGCAATTCGAACTTTCAGCTCCTTCCACAGATTTTTAATCGGATTAAGGTCTAGAGACTGGCTAGGCCACTCCAGGACCTTAATGTGCTTCTTCTTGAGCCACTCCTTTGTTGCCTTGGCCATGTGTTTTGGGTCATTGTCATGCTGGAACACCCATCCACGACCCATTTTCAGTGTCCTGGCTGAGGGAAGAAGGTTCTCACCCAAGATTTGACGGTACATTGCCCCGTCCATCGTCCCTTTGATGCGGTGCAGTTTTCCTGTCCCCTTGCAGAAAAACACCCCCAAATCAGAATGTCTCCACCACCATGTTTGACAGATGGGATGGTGTTCTTGGGGTCATAGGCAGCATTCCTCCTCCTCCAAACACGGCGAGTTGAGTTGATACCAAAGAGCTCGATTTTGGTCTCATCTGACCACAACACTTTCAACCAGTCCTCCTCTGCATCATTCAGATGTTCAGTGGCAAACTTCAGACGGGTCTGGTGCTTTCTTGAGCAGAGGGACCTTGCGGGCACTGCAGGATTTCAATCCTTGTCAGCGTAGTGTGCTACCAATTGTTTTCTTGGTGACTGTGGTCCCAGCTGCCTGGAGATCATTGACAAGATCCTCATGTGTAGTTCTGGGATGATTCCTCACTGTTCTCATGATCATTGACACTCCACAAGGTGAGATCTTGCATAATGCACCAGACCTAGGGAGACTGACAGTTGTTTTGTGTTTCTTCCATTTGCGAATGATTGCACCAACTGTTGTCACCTGCTCACCAAGCTGCTTAGTGAAAATTTTGTAGCCCAGTCCAGCCTTGTGTAGGTCTACAATCTTGTCCCTGACATCCTTGGACAGCTCTTTGGTCTTTGCCATGGTGGAGCGTTTGGAATCAGATTGTTTGATTGCTCCTGTGGACAGGTGTCTTTTATACAGGTAACAAAATGAGATTAGCAGTACTTCCTTTAAGAGACTGCTTCTAATCTCAGCTTGTTACCTGTATGAAATACACCTGGTAGCCAGAAATCCTGCTGAATGATAGGGCATCAAATACTTATTTCCCTCATGAACATGCAAATCAGTGCATAATTTGTTAGACATGCATTTCTTTTGAATTTTTTGTTGCTCTTCTGTCTCTCAGTGTTACAATACACCGAACATTCGATTTTTAGTCTGATCATTTCTTTGTGATTGGGTAAACATTCAAAATGGCAGCAGGGATCAAATACTTATTTCCTTCACTGTATATTTGTACACAGGCACAATATTGATACTTTTGGCTCTGTATGCCACCTGAATAAATTAAAATGAAAAAAATCCAAATAAATTTGAAGTACAGACTTTCAGCTTTAATTCAAGGGGCTGAACATAAATATCAAGCACAAATTTCAGGAACTGCAACCTATTTATACACAGTCCCTCCATTTTCAGGGGCTCAAATGTAATTGGACAAATGAATATAATCATAAATAAAATGTTAATTTTTAATATTTTGTTGAGAATCTTTTACTGGCAATGACTGCCTGAAGCCTGGAACCCATGGACCCAAAGACTGGGTTTCCTCCTTTCTGATGCTTTGCCAGGATCTAACTGCAGCTGTCTTCAGTTGTTCTTTGTTTGTGGGTCTTTCTGCCTTTAATTTTGCCTTCAGCAAGTGAGTTGCACGCTCAATTGGTCTGAGATCAGGTGATTGACTCGGTCATTGCAGAATATTCCACTTCTGTTCCTTCAAAAGCTCCTGGGTTGCTTTTGTAGTGTGTTTTGGATCATTGTCCATCTGTACTATGAAGCGCTATCCAATCAACTTTGCTGAATCTGGGCTGATTGTATATCTCTAAATGCTGCAGAATTCATCTAGCTGCTTCTGTCTTCTGTCACATCATCAAACACCAATGACCCAGTGCCACTGGAAGCCATGCATGCCCATGCCATCACACTGCCTCCTTCATGTTTTACAGATGACGTTGTGTGCTTTGGATCATGAGCTGTTACAAGCCTTCTCCACACTTTCTCCTTCCCGTCATTCTGGTACAGATTAATCTTAGTTTCATCCATCCAACGAATGGCTTTCCAGAACTGGTCTGGCTTTTTTAGATTTTTTTTTTTTTTTTTTTTTGCAAAGTCTAATCTGGCTTTTCTACTCTTCAAGCTTATGAATGGTTTGCACCTTGTGGTGAACCCTCTGTATTTGCTCTTGTGAAGTCTTCTCTTGATTGTAGACTTTGACAATGATACGCCCACCTCCTGGAGTGTGTCCTTCACTTGTCTGGATGTTGTAAATGGGTTTTTCTTTACCATAGAGAGGATCCTGCAATCATCCTCCACTGTTGTCTTCTGTGGACGTCCATGCCTCTTTATGTTGCTGAGCTCACCAGTGTGTTCTTCTTTCCTCAGAATGTACCAAACTATTGATTTGGCCACTCCTAATGTTGTTGCTATTTCTCTGATGGATTTGTTTTGTTTTTGAAACCTTACAATGGCCTATTTCTTTTGCATGGACAGCATTTTTGCGCTTTGAATGCATGATGTAGGTTCACAGCAATAGATTCCAAAAGCAAATACCACACTTAGAATCAACTCCAGACCTTTTATCTGCTAAATTAATGAAGAAATAATGGAGTAGCCCACACCTGGCCATGAAACAGCTTTTTTATTTAATTGTCCAATTACTATTGGTCCCTTGCTCCAATTTGGATGTACATACCGTCAAATTAAACCTGAGAGCGTGCACTTTCAGCCCATATTCATTATATAACTATAGCTTGAATATGTTTTGGTACATACCTGAAAAAAAATAAAATTGTGCCTGTGTCCAAATATATATGGATTTAACTGTATATAACAATTCAGAGGCTGTGATTACCCTGCATTGTGTTGCATGCGCTTCTTTGGATTTAGCATGTCTTTTTGAGGTGCATTTGAATTGCAATCAAACAAGTCAAGCTCAGCCTTCTGTTGTCAAATGGCCGTATTTTCAGTTTAAAAGCAGCTGTATGCATTCCAGTTGAAAACACATTGATGTCCAGAACATACAAACCTTTTTTATAGTTCCCTAATGTAAAAAAAATCTGCAAGTGCCACATATTAGCAAAAATTTTTTGAATACCGAACTTGGCAGTAATTTTTTTTGTTAGCAGTTATCCCTTAACCCAATATTTGAGTACTTTCCTCCCCTAACTCTGATCATACAGAAGTAAAAGCAATACCTGGTACCTGGCCTTTTGTATAACAAAGCTGGGTCTTCCAACCAGAACTGTTGATTTAGGTAATTTTAGTTCCATAGGTTATGTTGAATTTAAAGCTGACCTTCAGGAATTCAGCTCATTTGTAAAAAGTGAAGGCATACTATGAGTTGGGTCCGGTGAGGTGCATGGCATTTCCTGGATTCTCTTTTTTCTATTTACATCTGGCAAGTTTATTGCACTCCTTGGACACAGCTATGGCTATAGTTCTGAGAGCCTGGGAGCCCAACGCTGGACCTTTTGGTCACTGGCATTTTCAACAGTTGTCAAAGCTGCTGTGAGCCCCTCCTTCCTGCCCAATCACAGAAGCCTGTATTATGTGAACTCAAGGTTTCTGTGAATGGTCAGCAGAGGGGAAAGGTGGGCATAGCTGAACTGTATGCTTCTCTCCTGTCTCACAGCCCCCAGTGTCTCAGTGTATTTTCTAGCAGAGCCATAAACCTGTCAGATATAAATAATAGAGACAGGTCCAGGTGGAGGCATGTACTTCCTTGGACTTGACTCCTAGCAAACCTTCACTTTTTACAAATAGGCTGAATTCTTGGAGTTCAGCTTTAAGCTTAGCCTTTAGAGATAAATAGGGTTTGGGTTGAATAATAATTAAATTTGATCTTTTTTTTATTTTTTTTTCTGTGAGATAAAAATGGTGCAAATTTAGAATGTGTGTGAGGAATTCTTGTAGCCACAGGAAAGATTAATCTGTGTTTATATAAAAATTTGCAGGCGGGCCAGTGCAGCATTAAACTGCTTGAAACGCTTCCATGAAATGAAGAAACGAGGACCGAAACCCTACAGTCTGTATCTAGATCACATTGTACAGAAAGCGATGGCTACCCACCAAAAACGTGACCAACACCTGCGTGTACAGAAGGATATTTTTATCCTCAAGGTGAGAAGATCATGCTTTTCCTTCATTCAAGAGAACTCTCAAACAAGTAGCTGAGAAAGAGTTGTTTGTATGTAGTACAATAATGCTTTATATCCTTTTCTTGCCTTATGAGAGCAAGAATGTGAGGGCCTAACAGTCTCACAAATTGTGTCTGTTCTTGCCCCTTTATTAAGCCCTGGTTAACACTGGTGCAACTTGTCATGTGATTTGACAGTTCCAAATCGCCTGACAAGTCACACTCAGTTGCCAGCAATGGAACTGTTCATATCACCACGACTCATGTCACAGTGATTATGAAAAAAGTTCCTGCTGCACGACTTTTTGCCAATTTCATTGTGACTCGCATAGACTTCTGTTATATAAAGTCCCAAGCTGCAATGAAATCGGCAGTGCAAATAGCACTACTATGCGGCTTTGAAATCATGCTGAAGTAGTGCTATTTCAAAGCCGCACCAGTGTGAACCAAGTCTTATGCTTTGTTTGCATGCCTAAGTCACAGTCACACGTCAAAGTGTAGATCTACCTCGTGTTTCTATGCAGAAGTGAACCTTATTTTGCACTCTCCAGCTTTAGTAAATAACATGCACTTTGCATTAGTGGAGAGGGCCACATCTTGTCAGAGAAGCAGGGATTTGCTTTCTCAGGTCCCCATGATGGCTGGTATCAAATGGCTGGCTGGTGGGGGAATGTTTTAGGAAGCAGAAGGAGAGATGGAGATAACATAGATCCCCAGAAAGATTGAGATTGCACTGGCTTAAAGAAACGCTGTTCCTAGAGAGGTTTAGCGTATTTGCCTGTAGAAGCAACTAATGTTATCTTATGTGTCCATGCATATTAGGTAGTCTAGAGTTTTTTAAGCTTAGCGTTTAGAAGCAGAAAAAAAAAATTCTGTTTTGCTTTTTTAGCAGCGTTTTTCTGGCATAAAAAAAAAACTAAACTCTCCTAAGCGCTGCTAAATACTAATACAGAAAAATATAAAAAATGTGCCCTTTTTTTTTTTTTTTTTTTGCCAAGAGCACTGGTGTTTTTAAGTCAGTGTGCATGAAGCCTGAATCAGAGAAATATTGCAGTTTCTCAAGTGCAGCTTTCACACCAGCAAGGATAACTGAGCAGCACAGTAGTGACATCCCGAAGTCTCACTCCAGATCTCCTCCTGCGACTCTATCAGATCTTACAGAACAGATATACAGCTGTAGGCACAGCCACATGTCAGGAAGTACACTGCTGTTATTCAAAATAAATATCAAGTGTTTTCTAGAAGGATTTCAGGACAACAAATTGACATTTTCAGGTTACTGCTTAAGCAGCTAACATTTCTTGATGTTCCTTACAAGATGGCAAATGTTTATTCCAAAGCAAGTCCTAAAGTCATTACTGTTACTAGAAAGGGATTATGCACAGAGGGATGCAAAAACCCTCTTTTATGGGTGTGTTATGGGGTTTTTTTTTTTGTTTTGGGGTTTTTTTTAGCCTGTAAAAGCACATCTGTTAGTCTGTGTTCATGCACACACATTTGTTTACAGGTGAATACTGTGTAATTGTATTGTAATTGCACTGTCTGCCCTTATGTTGTAAAGCGCTGCATAAACTGTTGGAGCTATATAAATCCTGTTCAACAATAATAATATGTGAAGAGGAGAGTTTACAGCCTGGGGAAATATAAATCACCAGCACATTCAGGAGAGGCAGTGTGCATGAGCCCTAAGGCAGGCCACTTCTGCATACCGCTCACTTTACTCTTTATCCATAAAGCAGTAAGCATTTAATGTTCCTGTAGAGGCATAAGGCTACACTATCATTGCTATTACATCTGTAATGACATCTCATGCTGTTTACCGTACCTCACAGTAGCATTCTGTAAAGAGAGAATTATACCCTGCTCTCTGTCTATTATCTTGTCACAAAGCTATTCTGGTATAAAGCAATTTGAAACCTTAAGTATATGGCATTCCTGAGAAGTGAAGATCTTAAAGCAAGGTGTGAGTTTACCACAGTGGGTTGAACAAAAAATAAAAAATCAGAGCCCTGCATCAATACAAGCGATATCCATGCAGGGATCTCCCCCGTTGTTCGATTGTATTCTTCCCCCACCAGAATACACAGATCAGCACTGCAGCCATTAGCTACAAGTGCTTATCAAATGCTAGCTTTCCAGCATGACCTTAGGACAGCAGCTGGTCATTAGTTAAAAAGACAGCGGTATACATACCAAAATGCGTCCGATTCCTGCTGCACCGGCTAATTTTCTGTAAGCGTATAGCAAGATTAATTGTATGAGGAATGCCTATAAAATCTAAATTATACTCTGTAGGTCTAGAGCCTTCTCCCTTTATTTTATTTTCATTTTGAGAAGATAATTTTTAATATATCGTTTATATTTCTTTATGTGTAGGATACAGAAGAAGCCGTAGCAATGAATCTTCGAGATAGCCAAGTCCTCATTCACAAAGAGAACCTTGAATGGAACTGGAATCTTATAGGGACCATACTCAAGGTACTACTTACTTGATGTTTGTTTCACATCGTATATTTTGTTTAAGGCCGAAATCACACTGTATGCGGTGACAGGTGTTTTACCGTATTGTAAAACGTCTGCAACCTCAGGGACACACAGGAAACAATTGATTCTTATGTATCCCATTCACAGTGTAACACAGCCTAGCACTGCACTAAAATTCAGACATGCTGCATTTTACCACAGAACACCAGCCTGAATCACGCTGCAATGTCGGGCAGCACAGAACATTGCGCCATTCGACATTGCTGTGAATGTAGTGCGTGTTTTGTATACTTCACATAAGGTTATTATAATAACAAAACAAAAAATAGGAGCAGTGCAATGCAATTAATCATGCATCACACTGCCCCTAGCACAGCGGAAACGCTGAAACGCTCTGCGATTTCACGGATGGGCAGTGTGAATTGGCCCTAAAAGTAATATGTGTGTTCATATGATGTATTCTGCTGACTTCTGGGGAATGGAGGACTTCTACACGTCTCCAGCAAAAGTGAAACAGTGACAATGCAAATAAAGCTGTAACTTTAAGATACTTTAGGGTTTCCGTATTACAAATGTACATGAATTATATATGTTATTACAAATATACAAATGTTCCTGATTATATATACATGCTGGGATTCCTGCGCACAGGACAGTAGATGTGGTTAATCCAATCACAGTGCATTACATTGCTAAACCCATTTTGTTGGGATTGCTCACTGTGGGGGTGTCACAGTATGAATTACTGTACACTACTAAAAGTGACTTGTTCTGTTCACATTCTTAAGCACACCAGCAGGTAAACTCTATGCAATAAACCACTTGCACTGAAGACAAGGCACCATGGAGTGATGAATCATACCTTTAGTTTCATTATTTGTCTCTATACAGAGCCCACATGAAGTGAGAATACAAAAACCATATTAGTCAGAATATGGGAAGTGTCATGGTGTGGAACTTCTATGTACTTCGAGGTTTTTATTTGCATTGGTAGGTGAGAGGCTCCAGGAGTGATCTGCAGTCACAGACAGTCAAACTCTGACATGTCATGGTGTCTTCTCTACAGGGTTAGTCTGGTACAGGTTTAGTTTTAGGCAGTCATTCAGCACAGCATGTGCTTTCTAGTAGCTACAGATTTGTGTATATGAAATAGGGGAACAGAGTAAGCAATAACAATGTATAAAATAAATCGGTGTACTTTTTAAGCCTATTAATGCTGATATCCTATGCCACTGCTGGAACACAGTGCTGTACACTGTATGTGCGCAAAGAAACAAACAGAGGGCGCATGGGCCTAGTGCATTACCTTCTAAAAATGAGATTTATTGAATAAAAAGTATACTCACAAAAGAATTAAATCAAAGGCACATCACAATAAAGACAGCATGGTCCAATCTCCCTAGATGGTGACTGTTGGGGGACTGTAGGCCTCCAAGTGGCTGACGTGTTTTGGGCTCTGACCTACAGTCCCCCAATAGCCACCATCTAGGGAGATTGGACCATGCTGTCTTTTTTTGTAATGTGCCTTTGATTTTATTCTTTTGTGAGTATTCTACTTTTTATTCAATAATTCTCATTTTTAGAAGGTAATGCACTAGACCCTCTGTTTGTTTCTTTGCACACAGCTTCTTTGGATTTCCCTGGTCCGTTGAGGGCAGCAAGGCATGCATTCTCAAAAATACTCCATGTGGGGTTGCTGACATTGTGGGGCTCATCGTCCAGTGCAGGAGTTTCAGCATTCATTTGCTCATGCTTTTTTACTGTACGCTGTATGTAGCTGAGGTTACGTACAGTCCATGCAGCACTGAAAGCCTCTACATATCTTAGTGAAGTAAAAAGCTTGGTCCATAAAAACTATCGAAACTTCACTAGAAGCTGGAGATCAACATTAAGCTGGCATTAGGAGTGCATAAGGCTCGAAGCCCCAAAACACTGATTTATGCACATCACAGCATTTGTAAAATGTCAGGTACTGACCTCTCCCACTTTATTTGTGGATTTTTGGGGCTCCTGGGCTACTTAAATGGATGCCTAAATAGACAACCTCCTAGATTGTAAGCTCCAAAGAGCAGGGCCCTCGAACCCCTCGTGTATTGTATTGTTACTGTATTGTCTCATGTACTGTCCCCCCACTTTAATGTACAGCGCTGAGCAAACCTTTTGGCGCTTTATAAACACTGTATAATAATATAATAATAAATGTATGATCAGATGCCACCAACTGCTGCTATTAGCTTCTCCAGCCAGTAGTTTTCAGTCCACTAGTTTACTTCGATACATTATTGTTTGTACAGCAAGTTTTTACCCATAATGAGTGAAAAGGGCAGCATTTAAAAGTTTCACACATTTAAATCACAATTCTTTTCTTTTTGGTTTTGTTTTAGTGGCCAAATGTGAATCTGAAAAACTGTAAGGATGAGCAGCTGCACAGGTATAAACTCCTTGCCTATTTTACTGTCTTTACTGTCTATATGCACCTGCGTTCTACTTTGATTAGGTGAACCAATAGTAACTCCTTCACAGCTTCAGCTTTTATCCCACTTCTGTAACTTGTTTCACTTTGTTCTCATGCCTAAAGGTTTGTACGGCGGCTACTGTATTTTTACAAGCCCAGCAGCAAGCTCTATGCCAATCTAGATTTGGAATACAATAAAGCCAAGAAGCTGACTGTAGTAGGTTGCCAGTTCACAGAGTTCCTGCTAGAATCGGAGGAGGTGAGTCACATTTAGAGTCAAGTGTCAAATTCTCACTTTAGCACTAAGGGAAACATTACCTAAATTATTCATTGCTTCTCTTTTCTGTGGTGTATGTGAACTTAAAGTGGAACTGCACTGCACCTGAGCACCACAAACCAAAAATGCAATTTCATTCATTTTTATTTTCAAAGCAAATGAACCCATCCATCGATGTAACCATGCCTTATTTTGTGGAGAAATCGCTTTGAATAACACTCCTTAGCATGTCTGGCCATAGCCCTCTTAAGTAAGGGCAGCTGATTCATGTAGCATTTACTTCCTGGAATCCATCTGCTCTTAGCTCAGGCGCGCAGGAGCTGAGAAAACCCCTTCTCCCCTCCTAAAGACTCCTGTGATGTATGACATTTGCCTAGGCCTGGAAGCCAGGAAGTGACTTGAAGAAATCAAAAAAAAGAAAGAAAAACTAAATATCCACTTCAGCTCTGGAAAGGTTTTATCCCTTTCATGACCAGGCCAATTTTTGCCTTTTCGGCACAGCGCTATTTTAAATGGCAATTGCGCAGTCATGCATCACTGCACATAAATGAAATTTGTATAATTTTTTTCACACAAATAACGATTCCTTTTGGTGGTATTTGATCACCACTGAGTTTAATTTTTGTTGTATAAAGGAATAAAGACTGAAAATTTTGTAAAAAAAAAAAAACAAAATATATATATGTTTTACTTTCTGCTGTAATAAAAAAATCTAATTTCTTCACACATTTAGGCCAAAATGTATTCTGCTAAATGTCTTTGGTTAAAACAAATCCCAAATACTGTATATTGACTGGTTTGTGTGAAAGTTATAGCATCTACAAACTATGGTATATGTACTGGAATTTTTATTTATTTTTATACTAGTAATGGCAGTGATCAGCGATTTATAGTGGGACTGTTGTAGTGCAGCGGGCAATCTGGCATTAACTGATGCTGGGTGTGAACTGACTAAATGACACTGAAATCTCCAGTGACACTAATTCAGTGATCAGTGCTGATACTATACACTGTCACACAAATGATACTGGCTGGGAAGGGGTTAACTTCTAGGGGCAATCAAAAGGTTACCTGTGTGCCTAACTATATGTAATGTGTTGATTGTGTGCTGTGTTTACTAAACAATATCTTTGTTTTTTCAAACACATTATTGCTTTCTGTTCAGAGCCCTGTGTTAGTAAACACAGAGCTCTGAACTGTCATTAGCTAAGCTGATCAGCAGGTCTCAGCCGTAAATCATTGCCTGGGACTTACTGATTGGCTTGAGCTGTAGCGAATGACAGAACAGAAGGGTCAGCGGGCATGCACCCCCTACCCGCAGGGCAGGGCGCGCAGCCACAGAAAATCTGTGGTAGACGGCCGTGAAGCAGTTAAAATATACCCTCCGGTCTGTTTAATAATGCTAGCAGCATAGGGCTTGAAAATAGTGTTGACTTAGAGAGTGAAGATCCACTTTAACTACATCAGTACTAACCTGTAATTACTCTGGAGCAAATGAATGAATGATTTATTCTTTTATTAGTTCCTGCCTTCTCCTACCCTCCATTATAAGAGTAATGTAAACACTGCACTGTTTACATTTTTTATCACTGTGTCAAAGCTTGGATTGTCTTGGTACATAGTGTCTGTGAACTGATCTGTCTGAGGACTGCTTGGTTCACAGCCAATAATTGACACAGGGGGTGCTCAAGGGTTATTTTTGCAAGGCAGTTTTCTATACATTGGGGAGGGGTAACATGCCAAGCACCCAAGTTGCAGGGCAATTGTTTTTGTTTTGTTTATATTTTTATTTTTTAATATATATTTAGTAGCCTATTATTGTATTTTGTACAAAGTACAGTAACAAATATATAAAGCAGGGAAATAAGCAACAATGTATAGATTTGTAACATCATTCAGTATTATTAAAAGCAAAGCTAATTGGTCTGTTTTGACTGGAGATAAAGTGGCGCCATTAGTTCAGTTACAAACAACATTCTACTTGTAGCTTCTGCAATTCTAGAGACAACATAACTTGCATAAAAACGGAATCACTCCCATGATAGTTTTGTGGTGCAGTTAATTTCCAATGACAGCAATATGTACTTGGGCTACGCACCTCCAACGCACATGCCTTGCAGTGCTCAACAAAGTATGGTAACAAACTGCCATGAGTTGTAGTCTACTGTGTTGGAAAAAGTAGTGCAGTTCCCAGTTTTGGTGTATCTTTTTGTTTAAATAGCAGACATATACTTACCCGCTCTGTGTATTGGTTTTGCACAGATCAGCTCCGATCCTCCTCTTCTCGGGTCCGCCGCTGGCGCTCCTGGCCCCTCCCTCCTGCCTAGTGCCCCCAAAGCAAGCAGCTTGTTATGAGGGGCACCCAAGCAGGCTCACTCCTTACCCGCTGCTCTGCGTTATCCTTTCACACACACATGCCTGATGAAGGGGTCCTGTGAGACTCTGAAACGTTGCCTTGCTGTAACTATGTGATCGTTCATTAAAACTTTTGGACCCATATTGGTGATCCTCGGTGTGCTGATGACATTGTCCCTTGCAGATTCTGTTCGATTCCAGCCGACAGTCACTGCAGCACCCACGTATACACAAACAGCCATTTTTAACACAGGAACGTGTGTGTTTGGATTGTACATTTGTTTTCACACGCACACCTACAGCTCGTCCATGCTCCCCTCTCTCTCCTCATAGGTTCACTGACTGTGATTGACAGCAATGGGAGCCAATGACTCCTGCTGCAGTCTGCACCAATGAGAAGGGAGAGTCCTTGGAGAGCTGAGGCTCTCATGCACATTGCTGGATAGCGATGGGGCTCAAGTAAGTATTAGGAAAGGGGTTGCTGCACACAGAAGGTTTTTTACTTTTATGCATAGAATGTATACAGGTAAAAAAACCTTGAGCCTTTACAGCCACCAACCAATGTTAACATTTATGCAATAACATGCTGTAACAGACCGCCTGTGTGTAAATGGGAGCTTACTAGGCAGAACTTTCACCTTTAAATGTTTTAAAGTGTTCAGTAGGTTTAGTTTAGGTCCCATAATGAAACTGTCAAAAGCCTGCTATGGCAGAGAAAGCAAAATGTATGGTCACATGCATAGCTGACCATTGGTAGAAGACCAGTTTGCAGTTTTGAAAAGAAAACAAACAGATCTTTATAGGAAACTGGAGGAATCCATCAGGAATTGAAGAATAAGGAAAAACGTAGAAAAATTAGGTGAAAACTGTATTTTATTAATACCTTTATTACCTATTTTATTAATATACTTTAAATTTACTTTTTGTTCCTTGCAGGATGGACAGGGCTACCTGGAGGAGTTGGTGAAGGACATTGTTCTGTGGCTGACGACCACGTCAGGCATGAAACAAGAGCGCAGTCTGCAAAACAACGGCTTACTGAACACACTCTGCCAGTACTATTTCCTCTTTATTGGTACCCTCTCCTGTCACCCTCATGGAGTCAAGATGCTGGAGAAAATGCAATGTGTTTCAGTGGTAAGACATCATACAGTAGAACTATGTGCAAAGTAAAACATTAAATATATGATGCTGTCTGTCACTTCACTTAGCTTGGTCCCCCAGAGCTCTTGCCTTCATGTGTGCGTGTGCACAGAGAGTCTGTTCTATGTACTTGTAAACGATGTCTCCCTTGTGCACCTTGGTTACTTAGCCTGTGAAAATTGGAGTTGCATGTTCTTCATAAAATGGGTTTGTTTAATCTTCAGCTTTTTCTGAAACACAAAACTCTAGTGCATTTGTGAATATTTGTTGGCAGTTACTTTTAATGTTTTGTTTTCTTTTCAGTAAAAGTCCCTTTTCTGCCTGCTGGCTCCCCTTCTCTCTTGATATGCCATGATGCTGGGCTGAATTTTCTCCGCTCTGATTTCTAGACCAGTGTCTGTTATGTAGGGATAAATACAAAAAAAAGCATTTAGAGATGGGCATATTATACTTGGTAAACTGCACCTTACATCATATACCGCTTCTATTAAATCAACAAAATTCTTAAAGGACTATGGCATCCCAGCAAACATACTAACATTTTATCCAGTTTTACAGCTAACTAAAATATCTGACTTTTGGCCATGTGTGTGAATCTGCACATAGAACTCTTGGACTCCTTTGGCTGCTTTCATACTAGAAGAGTGGGGTAGCACATTAAGTCCATTAGTCTCAGTTGCATTGCATAGAACTGTCTAAAGCAGGGTATGCACGGAATGAAAATTGCCCGGTTCAGCAGGAATCGGCCGACTTTTAATCCATGTCAACAGCTTTCTGTTCAACAGTAGCTAGTCTAACCACTGGCTTCTGTCGAATGGTCATGCTGGTAAACCAGCATTCGATCTGCTTTTTGAGCCAATAGCTGCAAGCGCTGTTTTGTATATTCTGACAAGGGGAGTACCTCCTGTCAGAATACAGTAGTGCGGCAAGGGAGATCCCTGCATTGCACATCATCCGTGTTGATGCGAGGATCTGTACATCTTTTTTTTTTTTTTTTTTCATTCACACGAAACAAACAGCAGGGTAGCACATGGAGTAGCACAATAAAACGTCTTAGTAATAGGTGCTGTATTTAAAATAAAAGTAATGAACAAATGTGCCTGTAACTGCCTCCCTGGAGGACGCAGCATAGCCATTGCAACCCCCCACATCATTCCAGGAAGTGGTTTGTGAGCTGTCTCAGCTGCTGACAGCTTCTTTACTAGCCCTGTATGTCACATGGACAAGGCGCTGTGTGTGCAAGCGGCCACTCTTCTCTGGCTTGCCGACACAAACAGTCCGGGAGAGTCCAGCAGGTCTAGTCTTAACAGCTATAGCTCTGAGTCCTACCAGGGATTAAATTTGAGGCTGTCAAGCGCACATTGCGAAGCATGTGAGTTGGTTACTTTTATTTTACTCATTGCATCTATTAAAAAAACTTTTTATTGCACTACTCTTTCCACTTCCCATATGTTTTTTTTTTAACCAGTCTGCTTTCCTTGTGTATGACCTGAGGGGCAGCTGTTGGAAATATGGCGCTTAAAGAGGACATCACAACTTATATTGATAATTTTTTATTGGGACACCAGAGAGCCATAAGTCTGAAAAAGGTTTATGTGGATGTTTCCTTCAACTAGTTGAATCAAAAGAAACTGGCTGTGTATACCCAGATTTAAACAGCTTTCTCAAGAGCAGAGAGATTATCTCATCAGTGTGCTGCTGCTCTTTCATAATCTAGACACAGGCTCTTAGAACAGGCTGCAATGCTAATCCACTGTATTGTGTCCTGGGAGGTCTCAAGGAGGGACTGTCTGCTGAGTCTGGATCATGAAGAAAAAATAAGTTATTTTAATTCTCATGCAGAATTAAAAAAAAAAATATCTGCTTAGGCATTTTACATATACACTCATGGAGCAATTTCTTAGGGACAATATATATGGTATAGGTCTAGGACCTCACTGTGCTTTCCAAACAAACGTTAGTTCTCCCCCGGCATGTATTCCACATTCAACACCTCTTTTCAAAATTCTGGTCCATGTCGCCATTATTTTAGCTTTAGTTTTTAGCTCAAGCAGGTCTGTCCATTCTTTTCTGTCTTCTCTCACCCACAAGGTGTTTCCATCCATAGAACTCCAGTGTTTTGCTTTTCATTGTAGTCTGCGTAAACTCTACAAGCCGTTGTGTGTGATAATCTTAGGAGGTTAGCAATCAGAGAAATTCTCTAACCAGCTTGTTTGGCACCAATAGTCATGTCACAGTCACAATCACTTTTCCTGATGGTACAGTGCAGAGCACAGACTGGGTTATGTGCAGCTATCTTCAGGTGGTTGGACTGCAGGCAACATCCCCTATATAATACCTGCTATTAAGTGCTATTCTCAGTTACTTTTTTAGTAGTTTCCTTAGATGATGGACTTCTACTCTCTAGAGAGAAGCTTACATTTTTTTATGGAGGTTTTGCTCTCTCCCACTGGATAGCTTCTTCCAGGCTAGGTTCTTCCATGATGATTCCATAATCTCTTGGCTGATCCAGTCCCTGTGGCTTTTTATGCAGCTTTTAAATCTTCGTCTGAGCCTTGGGGGACTGTACTCCGGACCCTGCCCGATGAAAGCTGTGGGGCTGGAATGTTGCCTTTGTACTATATCCTGCTGTGAGTTCTTCCCTTGCCACGTAGTTCAGCATGCAGAGTTAGCCTGCCTGATGCAGAGCCCAGTCCCTGAAGACCTCTGCATGGGTATGTCCACTGTGGAAGGAAAAGTCAGGTTGGGGTTAAATACCTCTTATTCCTTCTACTGAAGTGTTGTGTACAGGGCACAAGTCCTTTTAACCATTTTGCCTCCAGAGCCATTTTGCACATGTTTAAAAAAAATCATTTTAGGCCTGAAGATTAGTTAAAAACCCCAACCATTCTATATTTTTACATCCCAGAGAATAAAATAGTGGTAGTTCCATTTTTATGCCCATGCAGGTTATCCGTTTAGAAATAAATCTATGAACAATGGGCCAAGAATTATTGCTGTCACTCCTGAATGTGAGGTGAGATGTAACATATATTACAATTGAAGTTTTCAGGTGTAGGTGCCCCCAATGTATGCAATTATGTTCAAGTGTGGGCGGGGGTCTCAACATTTTTTTTTAGGGGGTTTTAAGTGCTTTGGTGTAATTTTAATTGGCACTTACATGAGTGTGTGGATTGCATCCATCTTACTACTTGTCATATTTACACAGGCAGTCACCGGAAGGCTTGTTGCAGGGTTAAACATTCTTCCAGTGTGCCCATTCTTTTCCTGTTTGGGTGTGAAAGACTGATGTTCACCCTTCTGGTGGCACAGTTATGTAGTCCCGGATGGCTAGGGTTAATGTAGTTTTTTGTGCCAGTTTACTTGTCCTGCTTAAGAACAACTAGTGCAGGACTGTTTGACTGTTTTGATGGAGGTGCCATGCCTTTTCCTCTATGGATTTACGATTCAGTTCTCTTACCAGGGGGCAGATTCATGGTGGTAGCCAGAGAAGGAGGCATTTTTAGTGTTACACAAGGTTGTCTTGAGGCCTAAGGCGGCCTTGCACCTGAAGGCGGTCTCTGTTTTCCACCTAATCAGAATATTGGCCTTCCTTTCTTATGTCCTGCTCTGAAACATTCTAGAAAAATGTATCTCCTGTCTGGATGTGGTGCCCTGGTGACGTTCATTGCCGCTTTTAGGAGTTTGGATTTACTGGAGATTCCTTTTATGGTCTCCCTACCTCTCGCTCCACCATTGCTGAATGGATCAGACAAGTTATTGTTAAGGTCTATAGTCTGAAGAGTAGTCTTTCGTCCCTTCCTTGATAAAGTCAGTTCTGCTAGATCTGTTAGAGCTCCATGGGCTTTGCAGCATCAGACGTATGTTTCTCAGATTTGCAAGCTGCTCTCTTGGATTCTATTCATACGATAGGTACATTTTACCCAGTGGATGTTTAGGCCTCCTGTGATGCCAAGTTCGGATGTAAGGTGCTACAAGCTGGCCTCTGAGCCTGTCTAGCCCTTCTTGACCTGTTTGTTATTTGGACCTGTTGATGTTCTTTTGCGTTGTTGCCCAACCCTCAGTTGGACTGCTTTTGGGCATCCAAGACATAATGATTTAGAGACGATTGTGTCCTGTATTGTACAATCAGCAAAATAGGATTTTTAACTTTTCAGTAAAATCTATTTCCTGGGATACAGTACAGGACACAGTACCCTCCTACTTGTTCTTATGATCTCGCTATTGCTTGCTACAAAACTGAGGCTAGCTGGGATTGGATGGTTATATAGGGGATTGTCCCTGTAGCTTTCCTTTTTTGACCATGTCTAAAGCAGGAATATCGAAACTTTCTAAACAAAGGTCCTAATTACTGGCTGAACTGTGGCCAATGAGAGTAGATGATGCTTCAGGTTTGATGGGCAGTGGGAATTAAAATAAATTACATAGCATCCCTGTGGTTAGCAGGAGGAGGGATGGTGCCCCATCATTGGTATTAGTGGGGAAGAATAGTGCCCCCATTGTTGGTGTCAGTTGATGGAATCATGCCCCTTCGTTGGTTTCAGTGGGAGGAATAGTTTCCAATGGTTGGTGTCGCTGGGAGAAATAGTGTCCCATCATTGGTGTCAGTAAGAGAAATAATGTCCCTTCATTGCTGTCAGTGGGAGAAATGGTGTCCCATCGTTGATGTCCGCAGAATGAATAGTGCCAGGAGGAGGGTATGCCCCATCATTGTCAGTGGGAGAAATAATACCCCATTGTTGGTATCAGAGGGAGTTATTCACCACTATTGGTGTCAGTGGGATGAATAATGTCCCAAGGGTTGGATAAAGGCAAGCAAAGGGCCACATTCAGCCCGAAGGCTGCAGTTTGGAAACCACTGACCTAAAGGCAGATGCATATAATCTAGTCTTATTGATTTAAAGAAACCTGTGTCCTGCACTTTACTGGTAAGTAATAAATCCTGTGTTTTCCTCTATTTCTGTGTTTGATGTGAACCTTAACTGAAGCTCCTGATTGATGTCTGCATGACCTTATGCATTGTGTTGCTGCCTCGCGATTGGCTGATGTTGATAGTTGCATGAATTCGCAGATATACAGGTGTTCCTTATAAATTGCATCGGTGAGTGTATGTATTTGAACTGTGCTTTAAGCTGTGTACCTGGTTAGAAGAGAATGTATGGGTTTTCTTTAGTTAGCTTTATTCCTATTCCCTGTGAGCTGCTAATACATAAAAATATTTCCAGCCCTCTGAGAAGTGCACCTTTTCTGTTAAAATCAAGGTAAATGCCTGTGGGAGGGACTACAGTCTTTTCTGGATTTGTATGCCAACAATCTTGTCTGGATCCACCTCCTTTCCTTCTGTATTTGATGTCAGCTCTCTGCTCTCTCACCCCCCCTCCACCTCCTCCCTCCCATCCTTATCTGAATTATATATTTTTTACAAAAGTCTTTGTGCTCATACTGTAATTTTATCTCTTATTGCAGTCTCCTAAATCTTTGCTCACTTAAAAATCAAGACCACTTATTGAAGCTGGCAGTCTCCAGTTTAGATTACAGCCGAGACGGGCTTGCCAGAGTCATCCTCTCCAAAACCTTAACCGCATCTCCTGATGTAAGTCTTATTTATTCCCATTTGTTTTTTGTGTTGTGGCTGAAGTGCTACTGAAAGTTAATGAGTTGCCGTAATGCATTCCTAATGTATCCCTCTTTAGTGCTTTTTACTTTTAAGTGCACTCTTTCTTTTAATTTTCTAAGAGTATACTTACAGGGAACTTTGTAATGGTCACACATTTATTGAAAAATGTATCCAGCATGATATAATCTAGTTTGATGGAAGGAGGACATTGAAGGAGTTGAGAAGCGTATCCTTTTCTTGTAGTAAGGGTCATTCATTTAGAGAACAGCCACATGACCAGTGCCAAAGCATTGCTCACATTCTCCCTGCCAGTGCATCTGAGGGATTCCTGACATCACTCCTTCCAGATCTCCCACATCGACATTTACCAGTTAAAAGTAGAGGCTGGTACACACAGGCCGAATAGCGGCTGATTCACCATTAACTGGTACCGTGTCTACAGCAGCCTGTCCAACAGAAGTTGGTCAGTCCTCCTGTCACAACAGAATAGCTGAGCGGGGAGATCGCCACACTAACATAGCTTGTGTTAGTACGTCGAGCTGTATGTTTTTGGGTTTTTTTTCTCGTTCAGTCCGCTGGGCTGAAAGAAAAAGAACTTATAGTGTGCAACCCGCACAAGCTATAATGTTTACTTTAATCGGTGTCAAAAAAAAAAAAAAAAGAATGCTTCTTCCCTATTTTGGACAGCCCTTTGCTCTTTCTTGTTCATATGCCAAGGAAGGGAAGCTTGTGCTTTGCCTGTGTAGTTTCACTGCAGAAACAGGTTCAGTTAACTGCTGTCTTCTCCAGTTGCACATGCTTGCTTATTCTTCGCTCAGTTTCCAGAAGCAAAGAGATACCCAGCACTATCAGATATGAGGAGCATATGGGTCACTTCCTTTCCTCTCACATGACACTACTGGTGCTTAGGAATTGGCAGATCATGGACACAGAATTGCTAGGGGGTAGTCCTTAGCCCTTTATATACTCAAAATCATGTCTTGAGGTTTACACAAGACTTCATCTCTTTTCTCTCTATTGTTCATTGAAGGACAGCTGAAATGCTCACGGATGAGTTTGATGCTGCCACCTCTAGGAGCAGGGTGCTAGTGGAGCGTAAACTAAAAGCACGCCTTACCCCCCATCTGCAACCCAAGATTCAGTTTTTGCCTAGCATCTTAGAAGTTCGAACATGGATCTTATAGCTTCCTAGTTTCTCTCAATATTTTTTTTTTTTTTTCTTTTCTTCCCTTTCCTTCACAATTTTTGTTTGCATCGACTAACTGCAGCTCTGCAGAGCTGCCGGTAGGGAGTTACCCCCTTGCAGATGCGCACAGTGGTTGGATCCGTTTTTCTGTTATGGCTACGCTAATTGACCTATGACACCCAGATCATATAGGATCATAGGTGTTTTCAAACCCTGCCTAGAGATTTCTGCATGCAGATCCCCCGTTGATCCTGCAGTCCATGACTACATCTCCTGGATGAGGAGGGGTGTAATGGGTTTATGCTGTAGGTATTCCCTGGCTCCTGGGTACTTTCTCCTTTTCCCCTGTTCTCCTGTGTGGGTTACCGCTCCTTCTGGGTTGTGGGAGGATGACGGGCCTAGACAAGGTCAAGCTGCCTTGTCTTCCACCATTTCAAAATGGGTTCGTAGAACAGTGATCCAGGCCTATGCTCTTGCGAGGCTCCATTTCCAATTATGGCGCATTCCACCAGCGCATCCTGGGCCTTTCATCACTCTGCTTCTATTGTTCAGGCAGCTACTTGGCCATCATTTTACATGTTTACCAAATTTTATAAAGTTATCGCTGCCTCTGTGGATGTCAGCTTTGGCCGGAAAGTCTTGCAGACTGTGGTTTACATTCCGCCTGGGGGTCATTTTCTAGTTCATTTGTTTGGTTGGGGGCCCACCCCTTCTTCTGTCTTTTTGGCACTGCTTTTGGACGTTCCATCTGTAAGAAATTCCTTCAGTGAACAATAGAGAAAATTGAATTTTTGTACTCACTGTAAAATCCTTTTCTCTGAATTTATTGAAGGGCACAGCACCTGTCTAGTATTGTTTGGTGTTGCCGTCCTTCTACTGCTGGCTACTAACTGAATCCTGGGTTGCAGATGGGTGGTTTGGCCACCATCAGAGAGCTACCCCTTAGGCATACAATTAGTTTAAGTTGTACTAGTGCCCTGCTTTTGAAGGTTGCAGTATCAAACCCATCCATGAGAAACTCCGCTTTGTCCTTCAATGAATGATAGAGAAAACAGTGAGTAGAAAAATCCAATTTTTTCTTGGTAACTGAAAGGATTGGCAGAAGAGCAAAGTGTGTACAGTTGGGGGACAGATATGTGAACCTGTTTCTTTGCCTTTCAAGATCAAAAGCACCGGATCACATAAGGTGGACATTCAATTTCATCAAAAAAGGTGCCTTCAATAGAGGATACTTTCCTCTAGCAAAGACATTGCCTCAGTGTGATTTCAAAGGCTCCATTAGCGCAAAATCTTCTACTGTTAACCATCTGAAGATTTTGGTGTTCATTTTACAGTGAAAAGAGCAACCAGCCCAACTGGATGATTGGGCATATGCATATCACTGTACAAATTCGGCAGTGCCGAATGTGACTAAATTCCCACGCATCCCCACCCGGCCACTGTGACCGTCGAATAAAACCCAGAAGCTGCCCGCCCGAAGATGTCGGCAACCGGGTGGGGAGTAGCATGACGTGGGCATCGCTAGAACAGAGGTAAGTATAGTTCCGCTTTAAATGTTTCTATTCACACAGTGTACCATAAAATGGAAATAAATTATCAGTGTGACAGCTTGACTTCCACTCAGGGCCTGTGGGGTGCTAGGGCACTGGCGTCCAGCGACCACTCGCACATTCTCTGCCTCATTCAGTTGCCAGCTGGGAGATTCCTACACAACTGCGCCATTTGTTTGGAACCCCTGTCACGGGGGAAGGGCTTTAGAGGTGGATGAATAGGAGCATGTTACACCTAAATCTGGGTGTAACATAACATGCTCCTAAATGTGCACTTATCCTTTAACTTGACCCCATAGTTGATATCACAAAAACCAGCCCAAAGGGTAGCCCAGTAGTAACTTTGTGGATTTACTTAACAAATTACAGACCTGAAAACCAATTCTGTTGTGATTTGTAATATACTATTCAAAATATCTTAATACAAAAAAAATGCTTGATGGAGACTTGACATCTTTTCATTCTGCGCAGAGCTGTCGCCTGTACGCAACAAAGCATTTGCGGGTTCTTCTGAGAGCCAATGTAGAGTTTTTCAGCAACTGGGGGATCGAGTTACTGGTCACGCAGCTACACGACAAAAGCAAAAATATATCTTCGGAAGCCTTGGATATTTTAGATGAGGCCTGTGAAGACAAGGTGAATAAAGAATATTTTATGTCATTTATATTTCCTAGAATAAGTGTGTGTTGGTGCTACTATTCTTTAACCGCTGTGGCCAAATGTAAAGGTTCAGAGCTGGTGGCTTTTTCCTGCTCTGTTGGTCATTTTGGGCTGTTAAATCAGTACTTTAGCTTCTGTCATGGGCAGTGTGACTGTTCAGCAGGAACATGGAGCAACTGTGGACTTCAGTCACAGATTTTATAACTAGTGTAAAAGTTCCCAACCAAATGTTCAATCATTTTCTTCTCCTTTAAGTGATCATCTTGCATAGACCTTGCTGTCATCTCCTCAATACAGAAGTTAAAGGGCAATGTGACATATTTTAAATCTGGTAAATAAACTTTGTGCATCAAGTCTAAAGCCCTGTACACATGGGCTGATACAATAGATACCGGCCGAAATTCATCCCGTGTGTACAGGCCCTTGTTTGACATAAGTTGATCTCACAGCTGGCTGGAAAACCAGCAGCTGATCAGCACTTGCAGCCAATGGCTGCGAGCGCTGACTGGTGCATTCTGAAGGGGGGTTGCGCTCAGCAAGGAGGTCACTGTAATAACATTGCATCGTTAGTACAGAGACTTCATTGTGAAAGAGCAGCCGGGTAAGAACATTGGGGTTGATTTACTAAAAGCACATAGACTGAGCATTTTACAAATGCAATTGTTAAAGAACTTAGTAAATGAAGTTAAGCTCTGCTGACTTCCATCATCCAATCATATGCATGCAAAAGTGCAGTTTTTTATATTTTACTTGCATGTGATTGAGTATTCTTTGCAAAGTGTATTGCTACTGACCAATGCTCTGATCATTCAGCCTTTTGTCTGGTTTATATTAATTTCTGTCTCCACTGTGGATGTTCACCCTATTTTTGGTCCTGGTGACTATTGTCTCTGGTACTGAAAGTGATGGGAAATTCAAAGTTTTTTTTTTTTTTTTTTTTTTTTTTTTTTAGTTCTCACAGGAACAGTGGAGGAGGGAATATTGGCCAGTGGTGACACCTTTTGGTGTTAACTGTAAAAGTAGGGAGGGAGCTGTCTAAGGCCCAGTTCACACTGGTGCACCTTTGCAGCACTAAAAGGCACCTTTTCAAAAGTTCAGCTACCTGACAAAAATTATTATTGTTATATACAGGATTTATATAGCGCCAACAGTTTGCTCAGCACTTTACAATATAACGGGAGACAATACAGCAACAATACAGTTCAATACAAGAGGGAAAGGAGGGCCCTGCTCCTTGGAGCTTACAATCTAGGAGACAAAAATAGTTAAATTTATATTCTATCGCGTCTCTGCACAGTTTTTTTAACAACATCCTGCCTGCTGCATCTTTGATGCTCTGTTTGAAAATTGCATCAAAAATGATTCTTCCATGAGAGTCAATGGAAACATTTTTTTGAATCACATGTCAATTTTTTCTCAAGTGACCAGGGATGAAAATTCATTCAAAATGCATGCAAAACAAACCTAAAACTCATATGCTTTGCATTAAATTTTGGTGCAACGTGTTAAATATGTGATATGCATTTTTGAAAAACGTATACTGCATTTTAAAGCATGTCGATGTGAACAGGTCCTAATTTATGGGCACCATAGGGACCAACGTAAAGACTGTCTCCTCAAATGAGTAAAAGGGTGTACAGGGTAGTAGGGAAACGAGGCCTACCATAACATTTCCCTAGGACATCTGGCAAACATATAACGCCGAGCCACTATCTGTGGGCAAAGAATACACAATCAGCATGGAAAATGAAATTTGGATTAGCTGCTAGGGCCAACTGCTCTCCATTTGTCCTAGTTTTTCTGTAATGTATGTGGACAGTGTTGTGAGTCTCTGTATGTGTGTTAACTCTGGTCATTGTGTGCTGTGTCCCCAGTCTCTGCTGTCCCCCAGTTTGCTGTAATCTACATGCACTCATCCAGATGAAACCTGCTCTCTCTCATCTTGGGAGATAAGGGCCTGCTTCTACTTATAAGGTAAACCTGTGATTTTTCACCTGTTAATATTTTACAAGGTCATCTCCTGTGCCTGACTACTTCTTATCTACTAATCTGTTTTTTTCTGGTCATGCTCCTGTTGTCAGTTCCATGGTCAAGGGTGTCCACATTTCTTACTTAAATGAGACCAGTTTATTGGTCATCTCACTGTGTCCCAGCAACCTGAGTGCTGTGTCTTATCTGGTAAATCATCTCCTGTGCTGTTTTTCTGGTCCATTCCTTGCTGGTTCCAAAGGTCAAAAAATGGGCTGGTTCTTCTTTCAGATAAATGAGAGGTATTTATGTCCCCAAAGCAGCTGGAAAAATGTGCAAAGGTCAGACCTAAATATTTCATTAAACTTAAGTTTGTTGTAGACCTATACGTTTTTGTAAGCTAAGAATCCATCTTTAAAAGCTGAACTACAGGTGAAATTTAAATAAGAACGCGGTTTTACCTGCTAAAGGATTTTGTCCGTATTCCTGGCCATCCAGTCCTGAGAGTTACACAGCTCTGCCACACAGTACAGCCCATGTGTACGGCAGAGCAGCTCTGGAATCCTCTACATTGTCCGCAATTCTGCTGAAGTTAAGTGTCTGACAACAAAGGCAGTTCATTGATTTCGCAATTTTTTTTTTCTTCCTCTCACGCAATTAACGGATGCCTGTGTTGATGAAATGGGGGAATCCCTTCCCACAGTGCTTTTTTGTGTTCGGCTGACTGGGAACATTCCCGCCAGCAGAAACAATTTAATGTTGCTAATAGCCGCGGCAGCGCTAATCGTTCAAAATAAACCTGACAGGCTGGTTGTATACAAGTCGAATGATTGACTTGTGTACAACCAGGTAAGTGCCCATACATGGATCGGAATTCAGCCTGAGTCCCTGCTCAGCTACACAAATTGTAGCTGCTGACTTTTAAAATACAGAAACTGACCTGCCCCTTGGTCCAGTGGTGTGCTCACCACGGCTGGTTTCACCGGCCGTCTACTCTCCCCGGCATCTTCAGTGTGGGCACCCGGATGTGACAGCTTGCGGCTTCACAGCCGGGTGCCCACTGAGCATGCACGAGAAATGCTGCACTTTTTGAAAGGTCCTGTAGTCTTCTGGGAGCTGTCATGTGTCCCAGAACACTGTGGGGAGAGAGGAAGTGGGAGCAGGTACCTGTCAAATTCAGGTACCCGTTCCCCATCCTGCCCCCCGTCCCCCCCCCCCCCCTCCCCGGTCCCCAAAGGTGCCAATCCTTAATGGGTGGCGGGGGACAAAGGCTTAAAGCGGAAATTCCCCTTTTGGGTAGAGCTCTGCTTTAAGCCTTGTCCCTTTCCCAGCTTGTCACGGGATAGTGAAGGAGAAGCAGGATACTAACACGCTTTTGACGCTGCCTTTCTGTTCTATCAGTATTCTCCTTGCCAGAACATGTTCACTGTAGCATACCCTGTACTGCTTCCTCTCCCAGTCTAAGGACTCCTAAACAGGGAATTTGAAAGCGGCTTCTGCGGGGCCACATTCAGGTAGTTACACATTTAAAAAAAAATTTAATGATGTATTCATGGATACAAAGAAACCTTCATTTGTGCCTTTTATATACTCCTGGAGTTCAGGGTTTTTTGGGGGTTTTTTTTATGAAAAATGTTTTTTTAATTGTATTAACATTTTCCGCATGATATATACTTTTATTTACATAATAAATCCTTCTAAAAGATAAAAATTGCAACAGCTCTGCCAGCTGCATGTACTGAAATAGGAGTTTTTGCTCCTGTTTTATGTTTACTCCTCCTAAAAATCATGTTTGAAAAGGGGAAAAAGCTTTGATCCACCAAGGGAAGTTTCTGCTTTTTCTAAACCATATTTTTATACCATAGCCAAAGGTCAGCGAGAGACAGATTTTTATGGCAAAGCCGTGTTTTAGCAGCATTGTGTTGTCATGCATTCACTATCAAATGGCTGCAGTTTCCTGTGGGTTAGTGTGCTCAGCTACCTGCAAGAACTTGTGTTGTCTCAGGTGCACAAAGCAAGTGTATGTGGAAAATCTTAAAATGGGGCTGTATACCTACATCCTAGTGCAGGAATGCGCTACAATCTTATTGCAGATCAACACCCATTATGGGGTTAAATATTCAAATGCTCGAGTGATAAAACTATTAAAGCCGGAGATAGATCTACAAGATGTGCATCCCCAGTGTGAACACACTGAGTGATGTCATGACAAGCCTGTCTCAGTCCAAGCAAAATGACAGCCATTCCAGGATTAGCTCATTTATTGTATCATCACAGATTTCAGATGTTTAGAGTACAGTAAGCGCTTTATCAGCAACTTTACCGTAAACGTTGTGCAGGTTTAGATCCATGATGAGAGAGTAAATGGGATGCACAGCTATGCACAGGTTGGCTTCTTCTGAACACCCACTGAGCTCTCACTGCTTTCTAATAGCACATTACCTGATTATATTGTTTGGTATTAAGTTCCTGTTTAGTAGCTTGAATGGGCTTCTGTTTTTGTCTGCCCTAGGAATATAATCTAAAATATGTTGAATTGATAGAAGAGCAGCTAAACGAGGCTCTCACCACCTATCGAAAGCCTGTTGATGGCGATAACTATGTCCGACGCAGTAATCAGAGGTAAATGAATATTTTTTTTATTTTATTTTTTTAATTACAGGTAGTTATATAGCGCCGTCAATTTACGCATCTCTTTATATATATATATTGTACGTTCATATCCGTCCCTAACCCTCAAGGAGTATACAATCTAAGGTCCCTAACTCACATTCACACATACTAGGGTTGGTTTAGACAGGAGCCAGTTAACCTACCAGCATGTCTTTGAACCCACGCAGGCAGGGAGAACATGCAAACTCCAAGCAGATAGTGCCGTGGGTGAAGTTTGAACCAACGACCCTAGTGCTGCAAGGTGGAAGTGCTGACCACTTAGCCACTGTGCTGCCTTACAGCAGAAAACTGACTGTATAAATAAAGTATGTACAAGAGCCATGTACCATGATAATATCACTGAATACAATACCCAAGCTCTACTACTGGTGATGCTATCCAAGGCTGAAAACCTGTGGTTGGGATGTGCAAACTTGAATGTAGATAGATATAGGCCAGCAACTCGGTAGACTCAAGGCTGAAAATCTTTATTGGCTGCACAAGTACATCCAGTAAAACAATGTTAGCATTGTTTTACTGCGCAGGGGCGGACTGACAACTCATGGGGCCCCCGGGCAATAGGGGATCGTGGGGCCCGTTTCCTTGCCCACACTCAAAAAAAGCCTATAAAAGGTACCTGGGGCATTTCATGGGGCCCCCTACTGACCTCGGGCAGTGCCCAAGTGCTCGAATGGTCAGTCCGCCCCTGTTACTGAGTGTACTTTTGTAGCCAATTAAGATTTTCAAAGTTTGAGTCCACCGAGTTGCTGGCCTATATCTATCTATGTACCATGATAATGTTCACTATGACATAAAGTAAGTAACAAAGAAACAAAACCATTTACCTGCAAGTAATTAGAAGAAAGTTCCCTGTGACTTAAAGCTAATTGTTGAGCTAACTTTACAGTTTACATATATTAAATCATTTTTGTATGTTCTGTTTTCATTTAGAGTGCAGCGTCCCTATGTGTATTTACCTGTCCACTTGTATGGGCAGCTAGTGCATCATAAAACTGGTTGTCAGCTCTTGGAGGTCCAGGTGAGAAAAAAACTACATTGTCTATGAATATTTTCTAGAGCCTAAAGGAGATTAAGGGAAAATGGAAGAAAAGAAATTGTGTGTATATATTGCTTCAAGCGCCTATTGAAAAGTTTGTTTTTCTCTTTATTCATTATTTTTTTTTTTCTTAAGAACATTGTTCCAGATCTAAGCTACACTGTACGATCACCATCACTAGACAAGTGGGAAGGAATCAAACAGCTCAAAGCAGCTCTCTGGTCATTGGTAAGTTGAACACTCTTTCACATTTTAGCACAGCTTAAGAATTGTCATCACATATTGATATTTTGCATCAAGTGTTAGTCTTTGACTAGTTTTTGTGGGTTCAGGACTGCATATATATTTTTGCATAGGAGTACTGGAAAACCATGCATCCGTGATCAGTGGATCACAGGTGTAACGTACAGGCTCCTGTAGACTCTCTGCAGTCCCACTGGTCCATACTGAGGTGCGAGCCTTTGGTTACAGGCAGGAACAAGTTTCTTCTGTGACTTACAGAGACTAATGTTCACTTAAGACTAGAAAAACTTAAAGGATAAGTTCACCTTTCTTAACATGTTACACCCATTTTCAGGGTGTAACATGTTACTGTAGCCCCCCTTCCGCCGCTAATTTTCACAATTTAAAAATAACGCATCCTGTGTGGGGTTCTGCCTGCTCGGCTGCGTCATTCATTCACAGAGTTCTGTGAATGGGAAACTACACAGTGCCCGTCAGCTTGTAGTTCCCAATGAACTACCACAACGCTGTGGTATTTCATTGATTTTTTTTTTTCTACTTGCAAAAATGTTTTGTCTTTTTTTTTTAATTAATCATCAAGACCAGATGGCTTACATCCAAGAGTCATCTAAACACTTAGCCATGTTATAGCCAGACCGTTGCTCCTAATTATTAAGGAAAGCTTACTCACTGGAATGGTACCAACAGATTGGGGAAAAGCAAATGTGGTGCTAGTATTCAGGAAAGGGCCAAGATGTATACCTGGAAACTACAGAGCAGTCAGCCTAACATCAATAGTATGTAAACTACTAGAAGGAATGATTAGGGATCAAGTCCTAGAATTTGCTGATAATATCAGTAGTAATCAATATGCATTTATGATGAACCATTCTTGTCAGACCAATCAGAAAAGGCTTCCCTTATCAGCTTACACAGATGTTTATTAATATTACAGGTGCTTATGTAGCGCCATCAATTTACGCAGCGCTTTACACATATATATATTGTAAATTCAATTTATTTGAAATGCTTACAATCAGTCACTGTTAACTTCTCTTTCTAGGGTAACATAGGATCCTCCAATTGGGGACTGAACTTGCTTCAGGAAGAGAATGTGATCCCAGATATTATAGCACTCGCTCAGCACTGTGAAGTGCTTTCTATTAGGGGGTAAGTGTCCACCATTTCTGCAAGTGTTTTCTCAAGGTAACTTTATATTCTGCTTTGCCATTATAAAGACTGGTAATACCATATATGTAAGTCATGCCAACTTAGATTCCCCTAGTTTGGTTGCTCTAGCCTTTGTGTAATTTGGAGCATATTAATATTCAAACTATTAATGCCCACAGACATTGAATTTGTGCTCTGATAAGCACATCCTCCCAACAACAGGGTGTGCAATAAAGGCTGTATTAAAATGAATGCTCCTTTGCTCCTGCACTGGCACCCGTGGGAACATACACAGGGGCATACATGTAGGTGTGCTCTTAAATAGGACCTATCATACAGCTATTTTTACATTCCATGTTACTTTATGTCAGTAGATCAAACTCCTAAAACCCTGTGGAATGATCTCTTGCAAATTATATGCAGTTCAAAACAGACAATATTTCACACATTTGTTGTGGCACCCAAGTTTGTAGCAAAGCCCTGCACTGTTTTTACCAATGTATTGCAGGCAGTGCACAAAGCTGTCCTATTAAAGTTGTCCTGTCATAATGTTCATAAACATGTGAAAACTGTTCTATTGCTAGAATGTTGAAACAGTAATACGTCAGTGTTCCCCGTTGTAATTTAAATGATAACTGCAATATTAGTACAGATCCCTTACTTGTCTTTGCTCCTGTGCAAAAAATAATTTAATAAATGGATTGCTGTTGCTGTGTTTGATTCACTGGGGCCTGCAGTCTCCCAAATGCAAGGTACAGCCTACTGTGCTGCTGAGAGGGGTACTTTATGCCACCATTAGAGGGGAGCTCTTTGTAGGTTGGGACTGCTGCACCCCAAACATAGAGCTCCTCTCCTGCACCAAACATCCTTCTCTTTTTAGCATCTCAATTGTTTTTCTGTGGGTTTTAAAGAGCAAGGGCAGATAAAGGATCTACCGAATGTTTTGATCGTGATCAACCAACAAGCCAATGTTGTTAAGACATACATATTGTCATGTAAATGTGACCTCCCCTGCCCTTTTTTGTGTATGCCAGAGATAGACCAAGAAAATCCTTCACTGTACTTTATATCTCAGTCAAAAGAAAAAGTACCAACATAGTTAGATCAAATCTTTTTCAGGAGTTATCAAATACCTTTGGTGATAAATTCCCTTCATAATGGAGAGGCTTATGCTCTTTTTTTTTGTAAACTGTTAGATAATCTAATGATTTATTGCTATAAAATAAAGATATGCAGGAAGTTTCCATTGCAGATATTCTGAAAATACTAGCTTTGGCATAATACTGGCTCCCTAGCATTAGAAGTTTGAGTCACTGACCCTGTACAAGTATGCAGATCAGGAAAGTTGGGTTAAAAATGGCAGAAGACTAGATCTGTATACTTGTTTCAGGTCTGGAATCCAAGTTTAGAGTTGCCAGGGTCAGCATGATACCCTAACATCTAGTATTTTCAGAAGCAGAACTCCACAAAGGCAGAATTGACAAGTCAAAGAATTGATTGCTTATGACATGTATTTAATTTTAGTCATTGCAAAGAAAATTTGTATTGCAATTTTTCCAGGACCTGCGCATATGTTCTTGGGCTGCTTTCCAAGACGAAGCAAGGATGCGACATATTGAAGCACCATAACTGGGATGCGGTGAGACATAGCAGACGACAGCCGTGGCCAGTGGTTCCAGATGACATGGAGCAGCTCTGTAATGAGTTGTCATCCATACCTAGCACACTCAGCCTGAACTCTGAGTCAACCAGCTCGAGACACAACAGTGAAAGTGAATCCGCACTTCCTAGTAAGAATTGCTCTACTTTTTATACTCCATTAGGGAAACTTGTCTCCTTTCTACAGAAAAAGGGAGCATTTTGTTTTTCAAGGAATGTAGCTTATCAGTTCCTACAAGTGTTTTGCTACTAGTTTTTCTGAAAGTGATAGGCTAATTATTGGCTGAGCTTTACTTCAGCTTCAGTAATTTCCCTATCCACTGCAGACTCGGTTCTGCAATTGAGTGCCTGCCTCCTTATGTGTTGAGTGACTCCCAGAGTGTCCAGGACCAACCCTTAGAGGTACATCATTAAGCTACTCTAGACCCACAGGAGAATGTTCAAATACATACAGTTGTAAAGCAAATGTAAGCACCAAGGAGCAGGGCCCTCCTAACCAGGGGCGGACTGACCATTTGGGAACTCGGGCTCTGCCCAATGGCCCGGGGTCAGTAGGGGGCCCCATGAGATGCCCCTGGTACCTTTCATAGGCTTTTTTGGGTGTGGTTTGGGTGTGGGTGAGGACACAGGGGCCCCCATGATCCCCTATTGCCCGGGGGCCCCATGAGTTGTCAGTCCTCCCCTGCTCCTAACCCTCTTGTATTGAACTGTATCGTTTCTGTATTGTCTCCCTTTATATTGTAAAGCTCAGAGCAAACTATATAATTCCTGTATAATAATAATTCTGCAGAGCATGACACCACAATATTACAGATTGCTGGCATCTGCACTCTTGACCTATCCACCACTGAAGACAGAAGAAAACAAAAATAACCTGATACAGACCAAATACCCCTGAAGAAAAGAACATTCATGTTAAATGATTTTATGCAGGGCGTGCACAAAATGCATATTGTCATTTCTTGGGTTTTTTTTTTTTTGCATGATTAGCTTTGAAAGTTTGCTTTTGTCACAAATGGTGCATGTTAAGTATACATGTTCTTTAAGAATGTGTAAGAGATGCAGTCTAATATATGCCTTTTTTTAAATAGGTATGTTCATTGAAGACGGTAATTCTTCGACAAGTCCTTTCTTCTTCACAGATGATTCTGAGCAGACATTTTTTGAAACGCCGTTGAAGGACAAGGATCGCAGTCCATTCACTCTTCTTGCCCAAAGCAAGTTTGTAAAAAATCGTTTTCTAAATTCACTGACTCTGCCAAGCAAGAAGTTTCGGGCCAGCAGCACCAGTGATCCTAAAACAAATAAACTCCTGGCGGACAAGCAGCCAGGCCTAAGGCGGAACCGAACGGTCACTGAGCCGTGTTCACATTCAGAGTTTAACTCCATGGACAGTTTGGGCTCTGTTTTTAAAGTTCCCAAAATAAACACCCTTCGGCCTGAAAATTCTATCATTAAACACATAGACGACAATGGCAGCACACCCAGTATTACTGAAAATGATCTAAAACTTCCAAAAAGTCTGGGGCACGAAAATCACAGAGATCATGCAAGCCGTGAGAGACTCATAGGTGACGGCACAATGACCACACACTTTAAGAGTCGCAGCTTGAGTTTCAATACGGACACGACGACTAGCGGGATCAGCTCCATGAGCTCCAGCCCTTCTAGAGAGACTGTGGGAATAGACACTACAAACCTTGATACAGACTGTGGAAGTTTGAGTACAGTCATTAGCACCAAAACTGTCAAACCAGCCATGCTGCATCCCAATCACTTGCCCCTTTCAAAGTCAAACTCTGTGTCCTTGGTCCCCCCAGGGTCTTCCCATACGCTTCCTCGAAGAGCGCAGTCACTTAAGGCGCCCTCCATAGCTGCCATAAAAAGCCTGGCGGATTATCACTTTAGCTACACGAGTTCTCGAGACGCATTCGGATATGCAACTTTGAAACGGCTACAGCAACAGCGAATGCATCCTTCATTGTCTCATTCTGAAGCTTTGGCCTCTCCAGCCAAAGACGTTCTCTTCACCGATACCATAACCATGAAGACTGGAAGCTTAGATTCCAGGCTAACATCAAGCAGGTAATGTGTATGCAGGTGCAATCTAACTAAAATTAAAAGGAAGCCTTGAAATGTATCGAAGAACACAGCCTGTCTGCTCAAGTTCCTAGCTCTTCATCCATGCGTAGCTGTAGTAGACCATCCACACTGTCCTGTTAGCCGGTGATCTGAACACACTATTTATAATGGAGAGATGCGCCTACTGAAGGTGTCTTGTGACCTCTGTCCTCTAGAATACCCAATGCATCAAGCTGTCAGAACAACAAGGTTTGTCACAGCTACCAGTAGGTTTAGAGATACATCTATATGTCCAGGGGCAGAAAATACATTTCTTTAGCTTTCAGTGACTTCATGAACAACCTGGCTCCTGTGATTTGTCCACTTTTGCAGTAGAGTAGAATTAGACTTGCTTGTAGGAAGAAGTTAGTTTCCTTCAGAATATATTGAATGTCCCAAGAGAGCCTGCTGGCTTGCTTAGAGCAGTGGCCAGTTTATATATTGCATCATATAAGGAATTGACACGATCAGAAGGGCAGAGATCCCTGCTGGGTTACAATTATCGGGTACATGATTTTAAATTTATGTTGTGGTGTTTTACCAATTCACCATAATAGTTTTTACTGCTGTTTCATTTTTGAGAATTTTTTTTTTTTTTTTAAAACTGAACTCTGCCGTTATTGATTTTCTTCTTACCAGCAGACATTAGTAATCTGGCTGCCAGTGGTAGTGCCTCCTATGTAAGTCCTATGTCAGGAAGTAGCAGGTGCTAATGTGAATTTATAGAAGTTGGAGAGCTCAGGGTGAGTGTCACCAAGTGTGATGTGTTAAGCAAACCATAGATTATGCAGTTTTCTTTCCTTCAACCAGGGGTTGAAGGGTAGAAAATCGCTTGATTCCCCCATCAACACATTCAGTGTTGATGGGGGAATCCCTCCCGTTGTGCTATTGTATTCTGGCAGCGGCGGAGGTTTCCCAACTGTCAGATTATAATGATTGCTGCTGGCGGCTATAGCCTCTGGCAGTGATCATATGAAAAAAAAAGAAAAAAAACAGGATGGTTGTACTGAAGTTGATTGATCGACTTCAGTACAGTCAGCCAGCTCATAGATGATCGACATTCGGCCAGTTTCTGCTGAACCGGTAGAATTTTGATCCATCCATGGCTGGCATAACTAGTGGACCAAAGAGCAGACAGGAAGTAAGAAGGTGATTTACAGTCTGCAGTATTTTTGTTGTCCTCCTTATGCTGTGTCAGAGGCAGTGAGTCCCAAAGCATATTTTTACTTTCCGTATCTTTTTGGTAGAGAACACAGTTCCTCTGTGTGTGTTCAGCTGTGTATTGTTTGAAGAAATACCTTCAATGACAATTTTTCTGCTATGATAAGGTAACATCATTGTTTGAATTTGTGCCCCTTAATCCTGGCAGGTTCATGAAGGCATTAAGCTACGCTTCACTGGATAAGGAAGATTTGTTAAGTCCAATAAACCAAAACACTCTCCAGCGCTCGTCTTCTGTTCGCTCTATGGTGTCGAACGCAACCTACGGCAGCTCGGATGATTACATTGGTTTAGCTTTGCCTGTGGATATTAATGATATGTTTCAGGTAAATTTATGCTTCATTGTGTTATTTTATCCTGGGATTCCATATATTGTAATTGATTTTGCATTTCCATCACAACCTTTTACCCTTTCTGTATTGCTTGTTAATTCCTTGGTAGTAGTGACAGCTCTTCAGATACACGTTTTCCCTTCCCGAAGAGTTGCAGCTTTGTTTCACTTAAACTTGTGTTTACAGTCTCACATCTTGTACCACTCAGGTGTCGTTATATGTAGCACCAATGGTGCAATTTCTACACTTTGGGATATACCAATTAAAGGAAAAGTATAACCAAAGCTATTTTGGGTTTACTTCTGAGGATCACAGGAGTTCAGTTTGTATTGCACTCCTGTTACCTGTTTTCAGCCGACAGTGGGATAAAGCCTGCTGTCAGCTATAGTCACTCAGCTGGTCCAGGCTCTGGAAAGATCCTGACTTTAAAGTCTGGATCCAGCCACAGGCCTGGACCGGTAGCTGGCTCAGCCTCTTAGTTCGCCGCTGAGAGCCTGAGCCTGCTGCTCCCACCCCCTCCACAGCTCGGCGCCCCAGTAAACGCTAGAGGGGCAGAGCAGAGAGCCGGGGATTGACAGTCACCACTCTGTGCTTACTGAAGACTGAGAACTTAGCAATCAGTGGTCTTTGATCGCTCAATTCTCAGCTTTAGAGCTGGCTGGGGACATATACAGCATCGCACCAATGCTGCATCCACCTGGGGTGAGTATAAATGTTTGGTTTTTTTAACCCATACTTCCCTTTAAAAGTGGTTTACATGCATTCTATGCATGAAGGTAAAATACCTTCCGTGTGCCGCTCTCTCTCTCCTTATTGACCGAGGCACACTAGTGGGAGCCATTGGCTCCTGCTGCTGTCAATCAATACCAGTATGGAGGAAGCATGGGTGGGACTGAGCCACGCTCTGTGTGCCACAGATACTCAGAGCGAGCACATACGAGTGCCTCCAGTGCAAGCAGCTTATACTGGGGGCACTCGGCAAGGTGAAGGGGTCACATGCGCTGGCGGGCACCCAAGAGAAGGATCGGGGTAAGTATGACATGTTTGTTATTATAAAGAAAAAAAAAATTATCTTTAAAACCATTTTAATCTTTTTGGTTGGAATTTTCGTGTTGTCAGTAAAAATGACATGGGGTACCAGTTTTCACCTCAGCCTTAGTCCGTGCTGTATTCTATTATTCATGATGTACATTGGGGATTAACCTATTTTGGACTTCAAAGACTGGATGTGGTAGCCAGACTGACCTCTTTAAATATGAAGAAGGATGTTGTTGAAGATTATCTAAATTGTATTTCAATGTGAATCATTTTAAGATTTTGTATCTGTTTCTACACATTGTATTATATTATATTAAGCAAGCAAAGCTTGGAAAGTAGTCATTGACCATGGGAACATTATTCCGGTCTGAAGAAACAAAAGTTCTGTGTCAGCTGTAAGTTTTGCCTTTTATTTGTCATTTTATAGGTCAAGGAAACTCCATATTTCCAAAAGACAATGCCTCCCACGGAAGAGCGCGCGCTGCTAAAATTTTTGCACCTGAAGTAGGAGGTAAAACCTCACACTCTAATTATTATTTTACTTTTTCTATTGATACTTCAAAGGTCAGTTTACATGAAAACTATTTTGTTATTTTGTCCTACAAAACCACAGCCTATAGAGAGACGTAGATCTGTACATAGTATATAATCAGTTTACCTGTCAAGAGTAGGGATATGGGAGCTGCCATTGAGGGTTCAAGTTCCATGCTTGTCATCTTTATGCTTCAGTTTATGATGGGTGAAGGTCCCATCATTTGATATGCAAATGCATGTTCTAGCTTGAGACTTCCATATTTTTTATTAATAACTGCCTACAGGAATAACTAGTGCCGTATGTGGTCCACACATGAACACAATTTACAAACAAACCAGGATAAGGATACCTATTTTAAAAGAATGACTGTTTTGGTATTTGGTATAGTCCATTGAGGTTTAAAGTGGTTGTAAAATTCAGTCATGAAGTAGGAACAAAGCATATCCCTCCTATAGTGAGCACTTAAAGCAGAACTTCAATCTCTCAATCAACTTTGACCATTTTTATCTCTTATGCTGCTAGCATTAGTAAATAGATAGGAAAGTATATTTACTTGTTTTAATTTTTTTTACATTTCTTCAGTTACTTCCTGGTTTCTATGCCTAGGCAAATTGTCATTCATCCCAGGAGTCTTCAGGAAGGGAAGTGTTTTTTTTTTTATTCAGCTAAGCACTCCCTCCTGTCTGCATGCCTGAGCTAAGGGCAGATGGATTCCAGGAAGTAAATGCTACATGATTCATCTACCTTTACTCAAGATGGCCACAGCCACAAATGCTAGGGGGGTATTTTTCAAAGTGATTTCCCAGTAGCATAAAGCATGGAGACATGGATGGATGACGACGTTTGCGCTGAATATTAAAACCAAATTAAATAGTGTTTCTGATGCTCAGATGCAGTGTAGTTACACTTTAATGTCATTTCTGTCTGCTACTTTGCTCCTCTGCTGTCTGTATGAATCAATTGTGACGTTTCCTGACAGCGAGAGAAAATTGGTGACAGGGGAGGGACCTCCAGCAGATTAGGAGCCTTAGCTCTGTTCCTGTGTGCTGTGTGTAGGAGGGGGGGGTGTCCCTTCCCTCCCCTCCAATCAGCTCTCAAAGCTCTCCTCACTGAGTTTTGCAGAGTGCAACTTCAACTCTCCGCCCCCTTTTTTCTTACAGCTCAGCTAAGCTTTACTGCGTTACTTTAACTGACAATTGCGCGGTCATAAAAGCTGTACGTAAATGAAATGTTCTTTTTTTCCCACAAATAGAGCTTTCTTTCGGTGGTATTGGTCACCTGTGCGTTTATTTTTTGCTCTATAAACAAAAAAAAACACACCAACAAAATTGAAAATAAAAAAAAAAATATTTTTTTACTTTTTGCTATAAATTATAGCCAGTAAAAAATTTAAAAAAAAAATCAAATTTCATTATAAATTTAGGCCAAAATGTATTCTTTCTCATTGCTAAAAAAAAAAATCTCAATACATGTAAATTAATTGGTTTTCGTGAAAGTTAAAGCGTTTACAAATGGAGGTATATATACTGGAATTGGGTTTTTTCATACCAGTAATGGCGGCGATCCGTGACTTAAAGCGGAACTGCGATGGGCATGCTGACACTGAGGGGGAACTGGCTAACTGCCACTGACATCCCAATGACACCAATACAGTGATCAGCGCTAATATAAAGCGCTGACACTGTACTAATGACACTGGGCAGGAAGGGGTTAACATCTGGGGCGATCAAAGGATTAACTGTGTTCTGTTTTACATAATTTGCTGTGTGTGTTTTACTAAGGAAACATGCTGCTGCGTATTTCTCTGCTGTGTGTTCTTGCTGGCAGGGGAGAGACCTGTGTTCTTTGCACCCTGTCAGTGATACTCTGTGATCACCGGGTGCCGACGGGGAATCTCTGGCCAGAACCCAGTGATTGACATCCATAGCCGCCAATGGCGGCGCGTGCGCCCCCTACCTGGAAATGCAAATCACGTATATATACGTCATTTTGCACAGCCCTGCCACCCTGTAGCAGTGATTCTATAGGGCAGCGGGCAAGTGGTTAAATTAGAGTCACATTTCTAATAATAAAGATTCTTATCCTTGTGGGAAAGCTTTGTGAATTCAGCCTATTGTCCGTATTCTCTGATAGTAAATTGTGTGAAAATACTCTCTGGTTTCATTTACCCCCCTCGCTGGTAACCGGGAGGGATATTGCTGACATCAGATGGTTAGCAGTCTTGGCTGTCTTACTACTTCAGCAATCTCTTGGATGCAGAGTCGCAGTCAACAACCTAGAGTGGGCTGGGCCTGACTTTTTTTTTTTTTGGAATATAAAATAAATGTTCATGCATTTACCTTATTAGAATTGTTTGAACAGTGGCCTATAGTGTTAGACGTTTTCATGCAAGTGACTGCATTAAGGTAAAATTCTAAGTTGATATGTGCCTCCTGACTTATTTATTTACTGTATTTCAGGTATTACTGGATCCGGGGTTAAGAGCCCATACCAGGCACTCCGGCAGCAGTTCAGCATTACAGAAATTATGAACTCAAGCCGGTCAGACGCTTCCCAGTTCTTGGAGAACACAGAGGACACTGGGCTGCAGGAACACACAGATGACAACTGTTTATACTGTGTGGGGTTCCAGATAATGGGTTACAACCACGGTAACCAGCTGAATGAATTGGGTCGTTTAGGTACTATAATGTTTATGTCAAAATTTGATAAGAATGCCGTCATGCTATGGTTTTGAATTCCTGTAGCACAATAGTAGCTGGGAATATTCTTCAAGAAAAAATGTTGTCATATCACTTTGTAGCAGTGTTTTTTTTATAGTTTACACATCTTGCGGAGTAGGTTTTATTGTACCTTACTCAGGGGTTACAATTTCGAGTCCAGACCTACTAGCCGGTCACAAAACTTACTCTCCACCAGTTGCCCCACCCAACCTTGCCTAGGTCCACCCCCAACCATGGCCCGCCCCAAACCCCACCCTTGGCCCGCCCCAACCACACCCCCCTTAAAGCTTATGAAATTACATTTTTCTTTAGAATAAAGGGTCCAAAATATAAAACTGTACACAGTAATGTATATCCCAGCTCTCCTGTACTCCATTAAAGTGATATGACATATATACAGTAATGTATATCCCAGCTCCCCTGTACTCCATTATAGTGATATGACATGTATACAGTAATCATTACTGTATACATGTCATATCACTATAATGGAGTACAGGGGAGCTGGGATATACATTACTGTATACATGTCATATCACTATAATGGAGTACAGGGGAGCTGGGATATACATTACTGTATACATGTCATATCGCTATAATGGAGTACAGGGGAGCTGGGATATACATTACTGTATACATGTCATATCACTATAATGGAGTACAGGGGAGCTGGGATATACATTACTGTATACATGTCATATCACTATAATGGAGTACAGGGGAGGGGGGATATACATTACTGTATACATGTCATATCACTATAATGGAGTACAGGGGAGGGGGATATACATACTGTATACATGTCATATCACTATAATGGAGTACAGGGGGGGGGATATACATTACTGTATACATGTCATATCACTATAATGGAGTACAGGGGAGCTGAGATATACATTACTGTATACATGTCATATTACTATAATGGAGTACAGGGGAGGGGGGATATACATTACTGTATACATGTCATATCACTATAATGGAGTACAGGGGAGGGGGGATATACATTACTGTATACATGTCATATCACTATAATGGAGTACAGGGGAGGGGGGATATACATTACTGTATACATGTCATATCACTATAATGGAGTACAGGGGAGGGGGGGTATACATTACTGTATACATGTCATATCACTATAATGGAGTACAGGGGAGGGGGGATATACATTACTGTATACATGTCATATCACTATAATGGAGTACAGGGGAGCTGAGATATACATTACTGTATACATGTCATATCACTATAATGGAGTACAGGGGAGCTGGGATATACATTACTGTATACATGTCATATCACTATATCAATGGAGTACAGGGGAGGGGGGATATACATTACTGTATACATGTCATATCACTATAATGGAGTACAGGGGAGGGGGGATATACATTACTGTATACATGTCATATCACTATAATGGAGTACAGGGGAGGGGGGATATACATTACTGTATACATGTCATATCACTATAATGGAGTACAGGGGAGGGGGATATACATTACTGTATACAGTCATATCACTATAATGGAGTACAGGGGAGCTGAGATATACATTACTGTATACATGTCATGTCACTATAATGGAGTACAGGGGAGGGGGGATATACATTACTGTATACATGTCATATCATTATAATGGAGTACAGGGGAGGGGGGGATATACATTACTGTATACATGTCATATCACTATAATGGAGTACAGGGGAGGGGGATATACATTACTGTATACACGTCATATCACTATAATGGAGTACAGGGGAGGGGGGATATACATTACTGTATACATGTCATATCACTATAAATGGAGTACAGGGGAGGGGGATATACATTACTGTATACACGTCATATCACTATAATGGGAGTACAGGGGAGGGGGATATACATTACTGTATACATGTCATATCACTATAATGGAGTACAGGGGAGGGGGGATATACATTACTGTATACACGTCATATCACTATAATGGAGTACAGGGGAGCTGGGATATACATACTGTATACATGTCATATCACTATAATGGAGTACATTGGAGGGGGATATACATTACAGCTCCCCTGTACTCCACTATAGTGATATGACATGTATATACAGTACTTACTCCTAGTCCCTCCGAGTCCCCCGTGGCGGTGGAGAGGGTGTCTCCTCTCAGCGGAGCCGGAAACCGGAAGTTGTAAACCAGAACTCGGCTTCACAATGAGGCTTGGAGTGCAGGTGCAGTCGCTCCATGCTTCATCTGTGCTCGCCACAGAGGAATTTCTCCTCGCATTTGGCGAGCGGCTTTTTCAAGCCCTGCCTTACTGTACAGATGAGTTTATAACACTAAAATAATAAAAAAGTGCAGCGCTATAAATATAGATGTGACATAAAAATATAAATATATAAAAGTCCCAATGAAGGTGACCTCGGGTAACAATGCACACTGACCAGAAGTGCACATAAATAGTGCAATGTAGCAAGGATGGAGTTCAGATAGTCGTCATCAGTATGGGAAAGGGCAGATGTGTTCCCTTGATCAGTGAAGATCCACACGGTGAAGACAAAAAATGGGGCAGAATATATCCACTAGCCAGCAGAAAAGGAATTACAGCTCCACCAGAGAAAACCACCACTCCTCCACTGCACATGAACGGTATCTAGGAGAAAATGCTCCCCACCAAGGGATCAAGAAAAAATGCCCATAGTGAAGTATAGTTTGAAACTAATTTAATTAGGATAAAACAGGATGCATCCAGTGAAAAAGCAAAGTAGCACACAGCTAGCACACATGAAAGCTAGCATATATAAAACGAACAGGACTAACCGTCCTGTCAGATGTAGTGGCCGCCGGAGCTCCACAATGCTCCGACGTCGTGACGTCAAGGCGTGCGCAGGCTCCTCCTTACGCGTTACGTGCCAAGCACATCTTCAGAGAAAGAACCGGTGTACGCCGCGACGTGCAGGTCGGAGCTAAATAGACCAAAAAGCGCATGCGCGATAGCCAGGCGCCATTTTGTCATAGCTCAAAAAAGGTCTGCATGTCCGTCATAGATTATCAGACGGACAGCAGACAGTACATCAGTAAGGATCAAGCAGAAAGTCATATATAATGAAGAGAAGTGACTGAAAAACTAGAACTTAAAAATTTATATATTACTATAAAAACAGACAATATCATGATTAATAAAAACCAAGCAAGATTGAAAGGCGCATGCGCGATAGTCAGGCGCCATTCTACCATAGTTCAAAACAGAGTCTGCATGTTCATTATGAATTGTCAAAAGAGCAGCAGACAATATCTCAGATTAGGAATCGAGCAAATCTCACCCATACCAACGAAGGTCATATAAAATGGAGAGAGATTACTCAATTCCAGACATAAATATAAAATACCAAAATAAAAACAATAAATACATATATATAATCATGATCATATGATACTAATAAAAACACCATATAACAAAAATTAACTCAAAATACACGGATATATGTTATAAATAATTTTACATGAAAAAATACTCAAAAAAAGTAAAAATAAAATGAAAAAGCAGAAAAAAAATATATTTTCAGCTATTGTCTATAAAGCAATTAACGTCAAGTTCGACGTTAAGGCCCTGTGGATGTAATGTTTCCAATTGACAGATATATCTAGTTTCTAATTGTGAAACAGCCCGAATTTTATAAGTGCCTCTCCAATGTGGAACAATAGTATCAATCCCAGTAAATCTCAAAAGGGAGGGATCTCTCCCATGATGGCGTCTGAAATGTAGTGAGAGGGAATGGTCTTTAAAACCCTTCCTAATATTATTTATATGCTCCCTGAGCCGATCACGTAACCTTCTCGTGGTACGTACGGCCCACGTATTGCTTGGAGCAGGGACATTCGAGAAGATACACTACGTGCTTGCTATTACAGCATATGAACTTGTCTATATTATATGTGTTGTTATTAGAACTGGAACGGAAAGTAGTAATTTTTCTTTTCCCGATACCATCTACTCTACAAGCTATGCATTTGTTACACGGGTAAAAATGCTTTGTTTGTAATTAAATAAAGAAGGAGGCTTAGCAGTATGACATACTGGGAGGAGGAGATTATTTATGCTAGGGAGTGGCCTGAGCTATCCTTCTGCAAAAGGTACATTGATGACGTACTGCTGTTATGGAATGGGAGTGAGCAATCTCTCATTAATTTTTTCGGAACGCTTAATTACAACACCAGTAATATTAATTTCACGTATACTTATAGTATGGTGGAAATTAATTATCTTGATTTAGTTCTTAAGAACAGTGGTGGTAAGATTGTCACTAAGTCTTACTTTAAACCTTCCGATCGTAACAGTTACATTCCTCTCGATAGTTGTCATCACCCAAACTGGCTTTCTAACATCCCCAAAAGTCAGTTTCAGAGGATCAGAAGGAATTGCACCGATTTAGATGATTACCATACACAAGCCTCCATCTTGAAGGAGAGATTTATTGAAAAGGGCTATAATACCTCTACCCTTGATGATACCATTACTTTGGTTGCTAATATGGGAAGGGAACAACTCCTTAAATCAGATTCCAAACCAACTAAGAATTTAATTTGCCCTTTCATCACTACTTTTTCAATTCAGCATAGATCTATTCGCCACATTATTAAAAAGAATTGGCAAATTCTGAGGGCTGATCCTATATTAAATAAAATTTTGCCTGACTCACCTGAGGTTATTTTTCGTAAACCTTCAACTTTGAGAGATATTATATCTCTCCCAATGTGATTAATCCCCCTGCTAAGCCTCCTTCTTTATTTAATTACAAAGGTTTTTACCCGTGTAACAAATGCATAGCTTGTAGAGTAGATGGTATCGGGAAAAGAAAAATTACTACTTTCCGTTCCAGTTCTAATAACAACACATATAATATAGACAAGTTCATATGCTGTAATAGCAAGCACGTAGTGTATCTTCTCGAATGTCCCTGCTCCAAGCA